CTCCGCCTCCCCTCCATTCTTCTCTCCCATTTTACATTCAGCTGGAGTGACAATTTCGCACTCCAGGGGTGAAAAACGTTACAGCAGGACAGAGGGGGCAAGCCAGACAGAGGGAAGACATCATGCACAGCAGTGCATGAAGCTGACACGGCACTGCATGAAGCTGACACGGCAGTGCATGTGCATGAAGCTGACACGGCAATGCATGAAGCTGACACGGCAATGCATGAAGCTGACACGGCAGTGCAAGCCACACGCCAACAGAGGCACACTACCAACCAGAGGAAGCACAGCATGCACGCACCAGTGAGGTGAGCCTGCCGGTAGTCCTGCCAGCTGAGCGGAGGAAGGCGAGCACGCGGTGCTGAAGTGGGGGAAAGGGAAGGGGAGGGGAGGAGGAGAGAGAGAGAGAGGTGGGTTTAGAGAGGGGAGAGGGGAGGAAGAGGGGGGGAAGGCGTGGCGTTTCTAACGTACCTTAGAAACGCGTGCTTCTGATGTTAAGCATTCGGTGTGCCATTGGTATGTTGAACACAGCGAGATCTGATATTGCGCTTCTAATAGCAGCCCGTATCGCGCGAATTCGTCGCGCGTTGATGTTCCGAATCTTACGAATTCGTTCTCTGGCAGCGTCAAGTCAGACGGGATCGTCCGACGGGATCGCTGCCATCGTCGCGTAAGCCGCTTCCGCGTCGCACTCTTGTAACTGCACCGCACGGGCAATAGCATTATAGTAGAGGGGGAGGAACAGAAATAGCATTATAATCCGACACTTCTGACTCTTATTCGACTCCCCCCGCGTCGGCTGCACATCCCCCGCGGAAAATTCAGCAGAGTCGACTTCCCAGCCCCGTCTTGCCCCGACTGTCTGTGGCACAGTCGCGACCCTTGTCCCCACATCAACCACCGAAAACGCGAAATTCGGCGGGCTGGGACAGGAGAAGGAAAATTCCTTCAGCTGGAGCAGAGGCGGCGTTAGTTCGGTAGGTTCGGGAAAATGGAATTCGTAGGCGAAGTCTCGCCAAATCTTGGGTGCTTCGGCTGGTGTGTCGACGTCTGCGTCTCCTGCTGAGCTGGCGCAATTTTGCCGCCATTCTGATCCTCTTTGTGTGTGTTGAACTTGGCTTGTCGGGGGGGTCAAATCACCGCGATCCAAGCTTCGATCCAGATCCGAATGAAAGCGTCTAGCCGTGTAGAATGTAGAATCAGACGCCTAACCGTCTCCGGAATCTCTCCCGGAGGCGGCGGTGCGTGCGAAAGTGACAGGAGAGATCTGGCGAGCAAAGCGAACTGCTGCCTGTGGTTATAGTAGGCGCGTTAGCCTAAGCGACGCGAGCGACTGCAAATCCCCTGGGGTCGCAATTGTGTGTCTGATGAGAAACGCGCTAAAACGACGCGACTTAGTTCGGTGCTCGCACCACAGGCTTCAAGCTGCGAAGATCTCACTGCACTAAGGTAGGTAAGTGAACCACTCCGACGGTGAAGCTCTTGGTGTGTTGTCCTAGTGCAATGCTTTCTGGAGTGATCTCTTCGAATTCGAAGGAATTGGTTCAGGAGGCCCTAATGTCCTCGCGATTCCCGAAGGATGCGGTTCAGGAGTGACGCACTGTAGCGAACCGACGGTTCAGGTCTCTGGCTTGACGGTACCATTTGATTGGAGGCGGGGTTCGAACGCACTGTGCAATCTGAGGCAATGGTTGGAAATTCGTAGGACACGTGTACAGTGAGTCCAGCGTGACTTCAATCGTAGGACACGTGCCTTAGAGCCCAAAGTGCTGGATGACTGGCGGACAACTTGGCCAGCTTGAACAGTGTCAAACACCATAGCAACTGGGTCAACTGGAGTAGCGCCCATGGAAATGTGCGCCGAAACCTCATTCGTGAGGGACAAGAAGGCGCTGTGCGATTGATGAACGTGCAGAAATGTCAGTCGCAACACCAATGTGCAACCCGAACACCGACGTGTTGGGCAGCGATTTGTGGAGCATCGTGGAGTGAAGATTTTGATTGGTTGAGAGCGAATTGTCAGGTTTGTCGAAGCAACAATGTCGGTTGGATGGTTTGCGCTGCGCCTGCGACTCTGGGCGAACGCGTTTCCGATGATTTTGATAGGCCGAAACTATTGAGACGAACTCAAAACTCACACACAGGTGTCAGATACGGATAAGATTGACGGCAAAACAGTCGCATGCAGGCAAGTGACCTGGCAAGACCACATGGTCGCGTGTCTGAAGTTAAAAGTTGACGTTATGTACATTATCGTCCAGGAATGTCGACGAACGTCAGCCCTCCGATCAAGCATTCCGACCGTCAAGATTCTTCGACATCTCAAAGTTTCGTCATGAAACGTCGACGTTCACTCTAGACACGCACTTTCCTCATCGCAGACATAACATATGTATCAAGGTGGTCAAACGGATTCGTTATTACGACATGCAGTCGCGTGTAACCTATGGTTGTTAGTAACCACATGGAATGCCTTGTATGTCGTATTGTCATTATATTCCCTATTACATGAGGGCTAATAACCGTGTGTAGATAATTAATTTCGGTTTTGAAGTGATGGAATGGAAAAACAATTAGTTATAAGCCTAACAATCACCATAAGGCAAAAAGACATACGGTGATACTTTTATTCGCATTTTTGGTTATTTAGGTTATGTACATTTCTCAGATTTGTAGCAAGGTTCATGGTTTGTTATTTAGCAAATGTACATTTCTCAGATCTGTAACATGGTTCATGATTGGGAGGGAGAAGCAAAAAATGCAGGGGGCAAGCAAGAGACGCAAGTGCTTGCGAGTGAGAGAGGCGGAGGACCTGCGGAGAGGCAGGTACGCGGGGGAAAGGGGCGGGAGAAGCAGCTTCGCTGGGGGAAGTGGAGAATTTAGATGTACACTGCGTACGGGGCGATACGAGGTGGGCTGGGGCGAGAGTCGATAGAACCCATTTTACAGTCCCGTTAAAGTCCAGATTCGTCGTACACTCACAGAGTAAGTATGGAATATCAAAAGAGGTACAGCTTCAAAAGGGTTGAATAACCAGAAATCAATAATTAAAAACAATAGGTACACCCAAATATACTAAATATTATAACACATGCCCTCATCTCATGTTTACACAGCAGTTTAGACAACGGAAGACACAATTACTCCATAACCTCATGGTACCTGATACCAATTAAGATGTTTTTCTGTGTACAACCTAACAAGTGTAGAAACATTCGCAGATCAATCTTATTCGACAAGGATTCGGACTATTCTAATCGTATTCGTATTGTACGTGGGTCTGTATTCGGCCAAATAAGAATTCACGTACTATTCGCGAATAAACTATTCGTATTCGTATTCGTATTCGTATTTACAGGCTTACACCTGTGCCCCCACCTTCTCGTTCTCCCCTTCCACTTCTGCCGCTGCTGGTACGCACGCCTGTGCTCTCACCTTCTCACACCTCCCTTCCGCTTCTGCTACTTCTGGTGTGCATGCCTGTGCCCCTTGTTTCTTCCCTGGTGATAGAGTTAGTTCAGTCGGAGCATGAGTGCTTGCCATCCACTCAAGTTCCCTCGTTCCTGCCGTCATCACAACTATCCCCTTTGCTATCTGCTTCTCTGGTGCCATCAGCCCCTGTTCTTCTGCCATGACCTTCCCTAACATCCTGCTCCGTGCTCCAGTGTCTGTGATCACCGTCTTGACCTTCTCCCCCTCCATTGCCGTCGCCTCATTTCTCACCATCAGTTCTGAGGTCTGGCTTACCCGCCCGTCCCGCGAGTGGCGAGCTACAACGTCCCTTGGTGTCGTCTCCTCTGCCTGCTGCCCCTTCTCTCCTCCCTTTTGTCGGTGCTCCTGCTGGTCGTCCTTCCCTCCACTCCGTAGTCCCATCTCTTCCCTTCCCTTCCATGCCACGTACGCGCGCTGCACCTCCTGCTCTACTTCCCTGTCATCCCCATCCCTGGCGCTCGTTCCTGCCTCTGCTTCCCGCCTTTGTCTGAGTGCCTGCAGCTGTGCTTGTAGCCTGCTGAGCTCATGTTCCAGCTCTTCCGGGTTCCCCTTTGCTGTCCCCTCCCGCTGGTAGCAGTCCTTCGCTTCACGTCCCTTCTTGCTGGAAATTTCACACCACGATGCATCTGGGCACTCTCTCCTCAAGTATCCTGGCTTCCCACAGCGATCAAAGTTCTTGCAATCTCTCCTAACGTGCCCCGACTGTCCGCATCTGTAGCAGGTCCTGTTGTCTGCCCTACCATCTCCTCGTCCCTCTGACCTTCCCTGATCTTCAGATACCATTGCTGCTGCCCTTATCGGCCCACGGCTCCTCTCTGTCGTTTGTGGCCGGTACGCTTCAAACTTCCTCTGCGCAAACTCTATTTTCTCTGCCAACTCGAAGACTTCATCCAGCGTTGTGTCTGCCCCCATTTCGTACACCCTCATCCGCAATCCGCTTCCCATGGTGCTGTCGAGTCCATCCAGGATCTTGCTAACAAGAAGGCCCATGTCTGCACATGTTACATCCTCCGCCAGGTTGATCAGCCGGTTGTAGTAGGTAAGCAACGACTCGCTCCACCCCTTCCTGAAATTCTGAAATTCTCTTATCTTCTCCGCGGTGTGCCCTGGAAACTGCCGCTGTAACTGCTTCAGAAATGCTTCCATGGGGTCTTCCCCGTACCTTCCTGCCCTCTCTAGCAACTCATCCATCTTCATTCTGTACAGCGTTTCCGCCTCCCCTTCCAGTGTGTTCGGCAGACTCAGAAAAAAATCCACCGAGTCCATACCACTCCTCTCGCACCTGTATCTCACATTCCCTACTTGCATTAAGTAGTTCTTGAGTGAGGGCCCTATGCGCTGATCTCCCGCGAATCACGCCGGCACTTCCACTTGCTCAAACATCGCCGTGCTCCCCCGACCGTCTCCCCATGATTTACTCAGTCCTCTCGCCTGCCTTCCTGATGACTCCCTCTCCCTTGCCCTCTTGATCCTTTCCCTTGCCACTCTGGCGCGCTCCGTGCTGTATGCCAGCCCGCCGCCTCCCCCTTCGCGTCCGCGCTGGTCCTGTCCCACCTCCCTTCGCATGTCCTCCGCACTCATCCGTGCTCCTGCTCACCCCGACTGCCTCTCTGGCGAGTAATGCGCCCTCGCCCAGCCTTCTCTATGCGTTCCTCGCTGCCAGTGCCTCTCGGGCGAAGGGGATCTCTCGTCCCTTCTCCCTCCGTGCCCGCGGCGACTGTCTTGCAGATGCCACTCCTCCTCCCATCTCCCTCCCTGCTTGCGCTGCAGACCTGGCGAACGTGTCTCACCCCTTGCCCTTCCCGCGTAGTGCCGCCACGGATCAGGTGAGCCAGACCCGCCAGTCTGTCGTCTATCATGTTGCCCATGCCGATCAGGCGAGCGCGACCCGCCCCCCTGCCTCCCATCATGGTGCTGACGCACCTCAGGCGAGCGCGACCCTCCGTTCCGCCCTCCTCCGCGCTGCCAACGCGGATCAGGTGAGAACTCGTCCTCGCGCACTTCCTGTTGCTCCTCCGCCCGCCCCCGCTGCTACGAAGATGAGTGATTCACCTTCTCACGCCTCTCCTGCTTCCTGCGTCGGCGCCGCTCCAGATTATACCCATATTCCTCCTCTTCACTATACTCATGTTCCTTCGCTTCACACAGCTCCTCATCACTCCTTTTCGTCTTCTCCCTCCCTTCCTTACCCTCAGGGGAATCTTCTTGACACCACCTCCCTCGTCCGCCTGCTCCTCGGCGCCCATGATATTCTCTTACCCTTCCCTTGGCACTTCCCGAGTCCTTCCTTGGGGACACATCTCGCTGGCAGCGCTCTTCCTCATCCCTCCTCCTGTGTCTCTCTCTCTCTCTTGTCTCCCCCTTGCCTCTCCGTCAGGCTCCAGCACCAACCCTGCTCCTGCGCACGGGTACTCTTTCATTCCTTTACGGCGTGCTCTCGCATCCGCCCCTGCGATGTACTGCGACAAACACTCACTCCCCTTAACACGCGCTTCCCCCTCCTCCTGCCGCTGCAGTGCAGGCGAGCGCTGCGCGTGCCCCCTACCGCGGTCGTTCCCCCTTTCCTCTCGCCGCAGCTCTGGTGATCGCCCTCCACCCAACGCCAGGCGCCTCCTGCGCTCGTGTCCGCGTCTTGGTTCAGGCGAGCCATACATACCCGCCTGCGCGTCTCGCCTCCTCATTTCCTCACGGCTGGCTTCTGGCGCGCGCTCAGCCTCCTTGTCTTCGCCGCGCCTTGCGTTACTTCCGCGCATCCTGCCTGGCGAGCGATTTGCATCCGTGCTCCCCCGGCGCCCCGCGCCATTCTCAAGCATTTAGCCCACCGACCCGTCTGCATCCGCGCTACCGCGGCGCCTCGCGCCATCCCTGCGCATTTCGCCCGTCGAATCGTCTGAATCCGCGCTTCCGCGGCGCCTTACGCTGCCGTCACCCATTTCGTCCGCCGCGCGACCTGAATCCGCGCTCCCCTGGCGCCTTACGCTGCCGTCACCCATTTCGTCCGCCGCGCGACCTGAATCCGCGCTCCCCTGGCGCCTTACGCTGCCGTCACCCATTTCGTCCGCCGCGCGACCTGAATCCGCGCTCCCCTGGCGCCTTACGCTGCCGTCACCCATTTCGTCCGCCGCGCGACCTGAATCCGCGCTCCCCTGGCGCCTTACGCTGCCGTCACCCATTTCGTCCGCCGCGCGACCTGAATCCGCGCTCCCCTGGCGCCTTACGCTGCCGTCACCCATTTCGTCCGCCGCGCGACCTGAATCCGCGCTCCCCTGGCGCCTTACGCTGCCGTCACCCATTTCGTCCGCCGCGCGACCTGAATCCGCGCTCCCCTGGCGCCTTACGCTGCCGTCACCCATTTCGTCCGCCGCGCGACCTGAATCCGCGCTCCCCTGGCGCCTTACGCTGCCGTCACCCATTTCGTCCGCCGCGCGACCTGAATCCGCGCTCCCCTGGCGCCTTACGCTGCCGTCACCCATTTCGTCCGCCGCGCGACCTGAATCCGCGCTCCCCTGGCGCCTTACGCTGCCGTCACCCATTTCGTCCGCCGCGCGACCTGAATCCGCGCTCCCCTGGCGCCTTACGCTGCCGTCACCCATTTCGTCCGCCGCGCGACCTGAATCCGCGCTCCCCTGGCGCCTTACGCTGCCGTCACCCATTTCGTCCGCCGCGCGACCTGCATCCGCGCTTCCGCGGTGCCTTGCGCTGCCTCCGCGCATCCCTTCCGGCGAGCCACTTGCTCCCGCGTCCTTGCTCCCGTCGTCGCGCTCTTCTTCCGCGCCTTTTTCCTCTTCACCATCCCGCACCATCGGGATCTGGTGTGTTTCTTCCTCGCCGTCGGCCTCGTTTGCCGAATCCGACGAGTCCACCACGTCCGCGTCGTCGCGACGCCTTACACCCTCTCCTTGCTGGCCGCGTGCTAGATTCCAAGGGTCACCGCTGGACGGTTGAGGCCTGGGCTCCGATCTCGCGTGCAGATCGTCCTCGCCTCCATCTCGACGCCCTTCAACGTGCAGATCTGCGCGGTCCGCCGCCCTCCTTGGCGACCACTCCCGCGATCTTCCTCGCTCCTGCGAGCGCGTCCTCCGCGACGGCGGCGTTTCCCGACGCGAGTACATCTGCTGCCAGCGCAGCTCGTGGCAGTCCATACTGCCCAAACGTTCTCTCGGCTTTTCTCCTGTTATGAAAGAGTTTCCTCCCTCACCCCGTAGGTCCTCCCATAGTGGAGTGCCACCGGATGCTAGATCTGAGGTAACAGCTTTCCACTAATATGAGAGAATAACAGGAGAAAAGCAACGAGAGGGTGTTTGGTACTGAATTTACCTGAACCTGGCTCAGTCGCACACTTCTCGATGTGCGCCTCGAGCCAGGCCCAGTTGCTTCAGATTGGTTCATTAGATTCCCACCCCTCGATGTTTCCTCTAACCCTTCCCAACAACTTCGCCTCAACCCCCCATACTCCCCAGCAACTCACCCACAAATTGTAATCATACAAAGACTACACCTGAACCTACACTTGCATCTACACCCGCGCACCAACTGTTATCGCATATGCACGAAGTGCATATTCGGTGACACATACCAGGTGCTGCTGCCCTACCTGCGCGCCAAGCTGCATGCTCTGTTTGCTGTTCGCTAGAGGCAGAGGCAGGCCCGCTCTTTAAGTCGACTCAAAACACACCCTACCCTATACCACATACCACATACCAGGTGCTGCTGCCCTACCTGCGCGCCAAGCTGCATGCTCTGTTTGCTGTTCGCTAGAGGCAGAGGCAGGCCCGTTCTTTAAGTCGACTCAAAACACACCCTACCCTTTACCACATACCACATACCAGGTGCTGCTGCCCTACCTGCGCGCCAAGCTGCATGCTCTGTTTGCTGTTCGCTAGAGGCAGAGGCAGGCCCGCTCTTTAAGTCGACTCAAAACACACCCTACCCTTTACCACATACCACATACCACATACCATGTGCTGCTGCCCTACCTGCGCACCAAGCTGCATGCTCTGTTTGCTGTTTGCTAGAGGCAGAGGCAGGCCCGCTCTTTAAGTCGACTCAAAACACACCCTACCCTTTACCACATACCACATACCAGGTGCTGCTGCCCTACCTGCGCGCCAAGCTGCATGCTCTGTTTGCTGTTCGCTAGAGGCAGAGGCAGGCCCGCTCTTTAAGTCTACTCAACTACACCCCATACCCTCTACCACACGCCAGGTGCTGCTGCCCTACCTGCGGACGAAGCTGCACTCTCTGTTTGCTGCCCGCCAAAGGCAGAGGCAGGCCCGCGCACTGTGGGTGAGGGAGGAAGATGGGGGGGACGATGGGTGGGGGGGAACGGGGGAGGAGGAGTGGGGGCGGGGGAGGGATGGGGGAAATAATGCTGGTCTGGGGCAAGGGGATGGGGATGGGGATGGGTATGGGGATGGGTATGGTGGGGCTATGGGAGGTGAAGAGCGCAGTGAGAGTGGCAGCAGCCCTGGGAGCATGGGCTCTGTTGGTTCCCTGCGTGGGCACGAACAGCTAGATGATGGGCTGGGGACTGATGGATTGAGGGACGAAACGCCAAGGGGTGAGGGTGTGGCAGCGGCCGCAGCAAGAGTTACCGACGGGCGTGCGGAGGGAGGAGCAAGAGAGGAGGAGGCGGATGGGCAAAGGGGGCAGGTGGTGACAGGAGGGGCCACTGCTGGCAATTCAGATGCCAGAGGCAATGGGGGAAGCAGGAGCAGTGCGATTGGCAGCAGCAGGAGCAGTGCGATTGGCAGCAGCAGGAGCAGTGCGATTGGCAGCAGCAGGAGCAGTGCGATTGGCAGCAGCAGGAGCAGTGCGAGGGGCAGCAGGAGGTGGCGACAGGTGCTGCGAGTGCTGCGGTGGTTGCAGCGACGGGCTGTGAGAGGGGCCGCTGCTGCGTACCCCTGGGTGCAAGCACCGTATGAAGGTGAGCTCGTCTGTGTGGGAAATTGAGCTCGTCTGTGTGGGAAATTGAGCTCGTCTGTGTGGGAAATTGAGCTCGTCTGTGTGGGAAATTGAGCTCGTCTGTGTGGGACATTGAGCTCGTCTGTGTGGGAAATTGAGCTCGTCTGTGTGGGAAATTGAGCTCGTCTGTGTGGGAAATTGAGCTCGTCTGTGTGGGAAATTGAGCTCGTCTGTGTGGGAAATTGAGCTCGTCTGTGTGGGAAATTGAGCTCGTCTGTGTGGGAAATTGAGCTCGTCTGTGTGGGAAATTGAGCTCGTCTGTGTGGGAAATTGAGCTCGTCTGTGTGGGAAATTGAGCTCGTCTGTGTGGGAAATTGAGCTCGTCTGTGTGGGAAATTGAGCTCGTCTGTGTGGGAAATTGAGCTCGTCTGTGTGGGAAATTGAGCTCGTCTGTGTGGGAAATTGAGCTCGTCTGTGTGGGAAATTGAGCTCGTCTGTGTGGGAAATTGAGCTCGTCTGTGTGGGACATTGAGCTCGTCTGTGTGGGAAATTGAGCTCGTCTGTGTGGGAAATTGAGCTCGTCTGTGTGGGAAATTGAGCTCGTCTGTGTGGGAAATTGAGCTCGTCTGTGTGGGAAATTGAGCTCGTCTGTGTGGGACATTGAGCTCGTCTGTGTGGGAAATTGAGCTCGTCTGTGTGGGAAATTGAGCTCGTCTGTGTGGGAAATTGAGCTCGTCTGTGTGGGAAATTGAGCTCGTCTGTGTGGGAAATTGAGCTCGTCTGTGTGGGAAATTGAGCTCGTTTGTGTGGGAAATTGAGCTCGTCTGTGTGGGAAATTGAGCTCGTCTGTGTGGGAAATTGAGCTCGTCTGTGTGGGAAATTGAGCTCGTCTGTGTGGGAAATTGAGCTCGTCTGTGTGGGAAATTGAGCTCGTCTGTGTGGGAAATTGAGCTCGTCTGTGTGGGAAATTGAGCTCGTCTGTGTGGGAAATTGAGCTCGTCTGTGTGGGAAATTGAGCTCGTCTGTGTGGGAAATTGAGCTCGTCTGTGTGGGAAATTGAGCTCGTCTGTGTGGGAAATTGAGCTCGTCTGTGTGGGAAATTGAGCTCGTCTGTGTGGGAAATTGAGCTCGTCTGTGTGGGAAATTGAGCTCGTCTGTGTGGGAAATTGAGCTCGTCTGTGTGGGAAATTGAGCTCGTCTGTGTGGGAAATTGAGCTCGTCTGTGTGGGAAATTGAGCTCGTCTGTGTGGGAAATTGAGCTCGTCTGTGTGGGAAATTGAGCTCGTCTGTGTGGGAAATTGAGCTCGTCTGTGTGGGAAATTGAGCTCGTCTGTGTGGGAAATTGAGCTCGTCTGTGTGGGACATTGAGCTCGTCTGTGTGGGAAATTGAGCTCGTCTGTGTGGGACATTGAGCTCGTCTGTGTGGGAAATTGAGCTCGTCTGTGTGGGAAATTGAGCTCGTCTGTGTGGGAAATTGAGCTTGTCTGTGTGGGAAATTGAGCTCGTCTGTGTGGGAAATTGAGCTCGTCTGTGTGGGAAATTGAGCTCGTCTGTGTGGGAAATTGAGCTCGTCTGTGTGGGAATTTGAGCTCGTCTGTGTGGGAAATTGAGCTCGTCTGTGTGGGAAATTGAGCTCGTCTGTGTGGGAAATTGAGCTCGTCTGTGTGGGAAATTGAGCTCGTCTGTGTGGGAAATTGAGCTCGTCTGTGTGGGACATTGAGCTCGTCTGTGTGGGAAATTGAGCTCGTCTGTGTGGGACATTGAGCTCGTCTGTGTGGGAAATTGAGCTCGTCTGTGTGGGACATTGAGCTCGTCTGTGTGGGAAATTGAGCTCGTCTGTGTGGGAAATTGAGCTCGTCTGTGTGGGAAATTGAGCTCGTCTGTGTGGGACATTGAGCTCGTCTGTGTGGGAAATTGAGCTCGTCTGTGTGGGAAATTGAGCTCGTCTGTGTGGGAAATTGAGCTCGTCTGTGTGGGAAATTGAGCTCGTCTGTGTGGGAAATTGAGCTCGTCTGTGTGGGAAATTGAGCTCGTCTGTGTGGGAAATTGAGCTCGTCTGTGTGGGAAATTGAGCTCGTCTGTGTGGGACATTGAGCTCGTCTGTGTGGGACATTGAGCTCGTCTGTGTGGGAAATTGAGCTCGTCTGTGTGGGAAATTGAGCTCGTCTGTGTGGGAAATTGAGCTCGTCTGTGTGGGAAATTGAGCTCGTCTGTGTGGGAAATTGAGCTCGTCTGTGTGGGAAATTGAGCTCGTCTGTGTGGGAAATTGAGCTCGTCTGTGTGGGAAATTGAGCTCGTCTGTGTGGGAAATTGAGCTCGTCTGTGTGGGAAATTGAGCTCGTCTGTGTGGGAAATTGAGCTCGTCTGTGTGGGAAATTGAGCTCGTCTGTGTGGGAAATTGAGCTCGTCTGTGTGGGACATTGAGCTCGTCTGTGTGGGAAATTGAGCTCATCTGTGTGGGAAATTGAGCTCGTCTGTGTGGGAAATTGAGCTCGTCTGTGTGGGAAATTGAGCTCGTCTGTGTGGGAAATTGAGCTCGTCTGTGTGGGAAATTGAGCTCGTCTGTGTGGGAAATTGAGCTCGTCTGTGTGGGAAATTGAGCTCATCTGTGTGGGAAATTGAGCTCGTCTGTGTGGGACATTGAGCTCGTCTGTGTGGGAAATTGAGCTCGTCTGTGTGGGACATTGAGCTCGTCTGTGTGGGAAATTGAGCTCGTCTGTGTGGGACATTGAGCTCGTCTGTGTGGGAAATTGAGCTCGTCTGTGTGGGACATTGAGCTCGTCTGTGTGGGAAATTGAGCTCGTCTGTGTGGGACATTGAGCTCGTATGTGTGGGAAATTGAGCTCGTCTGTGTGGGACATTGAGCTCGTCTGTGTGGGAAATTGAGCTCGTCTGTATGGGTCATTGAGCTCGTCTGTGTGGGACATTGAGCTCGTCTGTGTGGGAAATTGAGCTCGTCTGTGTGGGAAATTGAGCTCGTCTGTGTGGGAAATTGAGCTCGTCTGTATGGGTCATTGAGCTCGTCTGTGTGGGACATTGAGCTCGTCTGTGTGGGAAATTGAGCTCGTCTGTGTGGGAAATTGAGCTCGTCTGTGTGGGAAATTGAGCTCGTCTGTGTGGGACATTGAGCTCGTCTGTGTGGGAAATTGAGCTCATCTGTGTGGGAAATTGAGCTCGTCTGTGTGGGAAATTGAGCTCGTCTGTGTGGGAAATTGAGCTCGTCTGTGTGGGAAATTAAGCTCGTCTGAATGGGAAATTGAGCTCGTCTGTGTGGGAAATTGAGCTCGTCTGTGTGGGACATTGAGCTCGTCTGTGTGGGAAATTGAGCTCGTCTGTGTGGGACATTGAGCTCGTATGTGTGGGAAATTGAGCTCGTCTGTGTGGGACATTGAGCTCGTCTGTGTGGGAAATTGAGCTCGTCTGTGTGGGAAATTGAGCTCGTCTGTGTGGGAAATTGAGCTCGTCTGTGTGGGAAATTGAGCTCGTCTTTGTGGGAAATTGAGCTCGTCTGTGTGGGAAATTGAGCTCGTCTGTGTGGGAAATTGAGCTCGTCTGTGTGGGAAATTGAGCTCGTCTGTGTGGGAAATTGAGCTCGTCTGTGTGGGAAATTGAGCTCGTCTGTGTGGGAAATTGAGCTCGTCTGTGTGGGAAATTGAGCTCGTCTGTGTGGGAAATTGAGCTCGTCTGTGTGGGACATTGAGCTCGTCTGTGTGGGAAATTGAGCTCGTCTGTGTGGGAAATTGAGCTCGTCTGTGTGGGAAATTGAGCTCGTCTGTGTGGGAAATTGAGCTCGTCTGTGTGGGAAATTGAGCTCGTCTGTGTGGGAAATTGAGCTCGTCTGTGTGGGAAATTGAGCTCGTCTGTGTGGGAAATTGAGCTCGTCTGTGTGGGACATTGAGCTCGTCTGTGTGGGAAATTGAGCTCGTCTGTGTGGGAAATTGAGCTCGTCTGTGTGGGAAATTGAGCTCGTCTGTGTGGGAAATTGAGCTCGTCTGTGTGGGAAATTGAGCTCGTCTGTGTGGGAAATTGAGCTCGTCTGTGTGGGAAATTGAGCTCGTCTGTGTGGGAAATTGAGCTCGTCTGTGTGGGAAATTGAGCTCGTCTGTGTGGGAAATTGAGCTCGTCTGTGTGGGAAATTGAGCTCGTCTGTGTGGGAAATTGAGCTCGTCTGTGCGGGAAATTGAGCTCGTCTGTGTGGGAAATTGAGCTCGTCTGTGTGGGAAATTGAGCTCGTCTGTGTGGGAAATTGAGCTCGTCTGTGTGGGAAATTGAGCTCGTCTGTGTGGGACATTGAGCTCGTCTGTGTGGAACATTGAGCCGGTGTGTTTTGGAGAAGGCCAGAGCTCACACCTTAAAGCAGACTCTGTCGCCGAGCTGCCGAGCTGAGAGGTGCTGCTGCAGCGTACCTCTGGGGTAGTGAACATGTGGACTGGTGTTGCTCCCCTCTCCCCTTCCTTCCCCACCACGCTTGTATCTGCTGTACTGCTGCTCTACGTCATGGATGCCACACCTCAGACTCAACCTTTGTAACCTCTTTTCCCTATTCCAGATTTTCCCATCCCCTCCTTCTCCTCCCCCCACCCACCAGGCGTGTGTCTGCTGTACCAACTTCTCTACGTGATGGATGCCATGCCTCACTACTCACCGTTGTAATCTGTGCCCTGTTCCTTCCCTTTCCCCCCACGTCCCACCCCTTCCCCCCCACCACCAGGCGTGTGTCTGCTGTACCAGCTGCTCTACGTCATGGACGCTGCGCCGCACTACCAACTTATGCAAGCTTTGTGTCTTACTCCTCCCCTCCCTCACCCCACCCCTTCTCCCCACACCACCAGGCGTGTGTCTGCTGTACCAGCTGTCAGAACTAACAGTAGAAAGTAAGAATGAAGAAAGGAGGGGTTTCACTAGCAAGCAGTTGAGTACATATAGGAAACCCTAGATTGGGCTGTACTCGCTATAGAGTACCCCACTGCAGGCTAGACAAATACAACATTCTGACACACCCCCATAGCCAAAGTGGGGTGTAATCAGCACAATGAGCAGGTATAGCAGGAGTTCACAATAAGAAGTAAAGCTAGAGGTAATCACAGCGGGCAAGTGAGGAGGAGGAGGGACTGTGAGAGGAGAGAAGATGAGAGACGGCGGCTGAAGCTGCAGACACACGGGCAACAGGAGCTGCTGGCACAGTGGCTACCGGGACAGTGCGCCCCGGACTACTGGAGTAACTGGCTCACGGGCTACGACGAGCTACAGGAGCAACGGACCCTCGGGCGACAGACGCAGTAGACTCTCTGGGCTACCAGGACAGTGCGCCCCGGACTACAGGTGCTGCGGACGACAAGACAGCAGCCTCCGCTCAACCTCCTCCAACTGTCCCACACACCCCCCACACACCCACTGCTTCACTCCTAACTCCACTTGCACGTCACCCCCCTAGTACCACTCCTTCGGCTCCCACACACCCACCCCCCTCAGCGGCAGCTGCAGCACTGGGAGACGGAGGAGGAGGAGGAGCAGGGGACGACGCACAGATACTGCACCCCCATACCCCCGACCCCCAAACCCTAATTCAGGAGAACGGGCAGCAGCAGGGGTGGGGCGCCGTCAGAAGCACGGGGGACAGCGGGCAGCGCAGGGGCAGAGAAAACAGGGCGATCACGGGCCTGGCGCAGCCCGTACGAGGCGCGTGCGGGCGGCCCGAGGCGCGCCCTGGCCTGGCGCAGTCCGTACGGGCCGCGCGCGGGCCTGGCGCTGCCCGTACGGGCCGCGCGCGGGCCTGGCGCAGCCCGTACGGGCCGCGCGCGGGCTGGACGGGCCGCGCGCGGGCCCTACGCAGGTCGCGCAGGCCGCGACGGGCGACGGGGGGCGACGCGCGGGTCCCCGTCGCCCGTCGCAGCGCCTCCCGGGAGCGACGCGCGGAGTGACGGGGCAGAAAGCCGCCGCGCGCCTCGGGGCGCACGGCGGGCAGAAAACCGCCGCGCGCCTCGGGGCGCACGGCGGGCAGAAAACCGCCGCACGCTCCGAGCGCGCGGCGGGATGAAAAAATCCGTCGCACGCCACGGGGCGTGCAACACGCAGAGTAGCAGTAGCAGCGGAAGCAGTGAGGTGGTGGGCCCACCCACAGGATCGACCCAAGGGGATCGACCTGCTCTGATGGCATGTCAGAACTAGCAGTAGAAAGTAAGAATGAAGAAAGGAGGGGTTTCACTAGCAAGCAGTTGAGTACATATAGGAAACCCTAGATTGGGCTGTACTCGCTATAGAGTACCCCACTGCAGGCTAGAAAAATACAACATTCTGACACCAACTGCTCTACATGATGGACGCCACGCCGCACTACTCGCCCGTACTGCACCTCCTCTCCCTCTCGCTGCGCCGAGCCACTCCACAGGAGCTGGTGAGCCGGCATGCACTCTCACACTGCGAGGTACCTTATGGTTTTCACATATGAATGGCTCCAGCAGACGGAAGGCTCCAGCAGAGAAATCCCCTGCCGTGTAGAATGCTTCAGGATCCTCAAACCCAGCATGCCCCCATCCCATCCCTGTTGTGTAGGCAGATGCATGCAAATTCTTCTTTCCCATCCCTGGCGTCGGCAAGTGCCTCAGACCCATCGCCCCTCCCCTCCCACCGTGCAGGCCGAGGCATCTTCCTCCATCTCCACCCGCCGTCAGCGAGAGTTCGAGCGCCTCCCAGGCTCACCCGCAATAAGGGTGAGATGTTGGGGTTAATAGCCACAATGTGGGTGCTATTAGGGTTATAGCCTGGAATAGTGGTCATATATTGGGGTCGAGATGCAGTACAAGTTAGGTATTCGATCTTCTATCCTCCAATACAAGTGTGTGGACAGGGTAAGATCCTACAAGTGAAGGCCATTCACACGTATTGTGGGCCTCCGTTCTCCTCACCTCACTCCCCAATCGCTTGTTATCCTCCCCAATCGCTTGTTATCCTCCCCAATCGCTTGTTATCCTCCCCAATCGCTTGTTATGCTCGCTTCGTTTCCTCCGTCCAGGCTGTGCAAGCAGCGCTTGTAAAAGCCGTCTACTTTTCCATGGACCATGCCCAGAGTCTCGGCCCAATCCCTCTCTCACCACTGCTGCTGCTGCTGCTGCTGTTTGACTTGTCACCGCTTCCCCTCTCCCAACCTGTCCCTCGCCCCCACTCCCATCCAAGCCAGGCCGTGCAAGCAGCGCTCCTGAAAGCCCTCTACTTCACCATGGACTATGCCCAGACGTCTGTCATCGCTGCGGTCTTTGCCTTCAAGGTACGCCCACTTCAAGAAAGAAGAAGAAAATCACTTCCTTAGAAAGCAAATTCCTCCTCTTCGTTCCAGCTTCTTTTCTTTTGAGTCGACTCAATAGTCACCTTGTGTGGTGGGTGGATACCACCGACTGGCGTTCCCCGACTAGATGCCTCACAGACTCCAGCTCGTCTTGCCACTACACCTTACAGTATCCCTGCTAACAGCTCTCTGCCTTACATGCTTGCTTGCGGGCTTCTGTTTGCTCACAACCCCACCAGATGGCCGAGTGGTGGTACCAGACAGGCAAGCAGAAGCTGAGTGCGTTTGGCTGCCATGTTGTCTGATATCCCTGCTGACCACACTCTGCCCTGCCCTGCCCTGCCCTGCCCTGCCCTGCCCTGCCCTGCCCTGGCCTGCCTGCTTCCCTTCCACTCGTTCACCCCCACTCATCCGCCATCAGATGGCCGAGCGGTGCTGCACTGATTCCCCCGTGCCCCCACCCTTAGAGACGTTTCCACTTATTGCTCCCCATTCCCCCATCAGATGGCTGAGTGGTGCTGCGAGACAGGCGAGCAGACACTGGGTGCGTCTTGCTGCTATGTCATGCCATACTTGCACTCTCCCATGCCTGCTCATGTGACACCACTCACTCATCTACCCCCCCCCCCCACTCATCCCCCATCAGATGGCCGAGTGGTGGTACCAGACAGGCGAGCAGAAGCTCAGTGCTCCCACTCTGTACCCTCCGCCACCACCCCCCCCACCTCCTAAGGCAAGTGCGTTTTTTCCTAAATACGTGTTACGTGTCCATGGTAGTACCATGATAGTACGACAGTAAGCTCAGCGCTCCCACTGTACCCTTTGCTCCGCAGTAACCCCACCAACCCCAGGGCAAGTGCAAAAAAGCGGTCAACCCATCCCCTTCAGCGGGTTCCCCTACACGCCATTCCTTCGAACCCATTCCCTTGTAATCATTTTCTTCAGCCAATTCCCTTATGATCCACGGCCTTTATCCCTTTCGCTTACAAACCACTCGCTTCAACCCATTGACTTATTATCCATTCCCTTCAACCACTCCCTTTTCACCCATTCTCGGATAACTTATAACCCTCTCCCTTCTCTTCCTTTTTATCTGGCCCCAGGTGGCCCCTGCAGGCATCCCACTGCCTGCTGACGCGCCCTGTGCGTGCTCTGCCTCTGCTTCTGCTGCCAATGCCGTTTATCCCATTCTCTTGTAACCATCTCCCTTGTTTCCCTTTCTTCCTCCTAGGTGACCTCTGCAGGCATCCCCGTGCCTGCTGATCGCTCCCTGTGTCCGCTCTGCCTCTGCCGTCGCACCAACCCCACCGCCCCTGCCACCTCCGGCTTCATCTTCTGCTACCCCTGCATCTTTGCCTACGTGGACAAGGCAAGCAATCCTGTACCCTGGTAACCCTGTAACCTGCATTGAAACGAAACAGTCATCCTCTGTTAACCCTGCATCTTCGCCTAATTGGACAAGGCAGCGCCAGTGCAGTGCCAAGGGCGCGTGACCTCTTTGCCCTTGGCATCCTATCCAGCTCATGCTATCGCTGCATAGTTGTTCATGTTTTTCTGCTCACGTGCTCGTGCATGTTGCCAAGGTTCAAGACCGCGCTTGCTAAGAGATGCCTGACAAGTTTGATTTGCCTTTGCTGAATCAGGATTCAGGGTGGTGAAAGGCTAATGTGGGCCACGTGTTGGAATGAACAACAGCCTCGCTTTAGCTCACCCGGCATGTTTCGCAAAAGGAATTGCGTGTGTGATATTTGACTGTGTTTGTTCTCCAGCATTTCAGCATGGTTTACCCTACTTTGACGCCATCTGTTGACTCCTTTCTGTTCGCCTCCCCTCTGTGCTTCCTCCCCTCCCCATTCCTTTCCTTATCCAACAATTCCCGTCTCTCGCCTCTTCCCTTCTCTCCTCTTTGCTCCTGCATCTCCTCTCCCCCCTCCCCTCCACCATCACCCCCCACCAACATTTTCACCCTCCAGCTCGATCGCTGCCCCATCACCCACCACCCCACCACTGTGGACCAACTCAGGCGCCTCTTCCCTGATGCATAATACTCTACACTACTGAAAGGTATTATTTCCAGCTTACCGAGTCGACTCAGAAGACTAGAGAGGGCTGCCCCAGTTCCAGCTTGTTAACCAGGCCCCTAGATTCGTTTTGAGGCACGCTGACGGCACAGCGTGCATCCCTCCTAGTACTCTGTCTGTCAGTGTTGCTTCAAAATTTTAGGCTGGAGATTCAGAGACACACAACTTTCCAAGGCTGAACAAACAGCGTTATCTTGAAATTTCTGACTGATCATGCAGGAATGTAAAACCCTCTGTTATAAACATTCCCTCACATTCACATATCTGAATCAGAGTCTGACTGATAACGTTCTACAGGGGCACGATCAGCTACTGGCTCCTCCTCTACATGCTCCTTGCCAGCTCTTGGAGGGTCCCTGTGTCTTGCAGCAGGTGCTGTGACTGGACGGCGCTTCTTGTAGCTGCGCCACACTTTAACTACTCCTGGCAAATCTAGCTCGTAGTCTAGTAATGACATGCACAACAAATCACTTAGCCTGCAGTCCTTGATACTGCCTCTTTGCCACGTTTTGATGAGGTTCTGTCGAGGGAAGCCTCTCTCACACTCAACAGTGCTGAGAGGCAACACTGCTACCGCCACCCAGAGGTTGACAAGGTTGGGGTATGCCTGCTGCCAATCGGGAGTCTTGAGGATGGCTGCCAGTCCCGAATGGAACTTCCTCTCGATCTTTGGAGCTCTGGCCAAGACCGGGCAAAGAGTCCTCAACTCTTTGACCGCCCGCTTTTTGACAATGCCTGTGATATAAGTAACAATGGGGAGGGTATTAGTTTAATACGAGAGGGCAAGTGTCAAACGTGTTCACCGAATGACCAAGCAGATACTAACCTGGCAGAATCTCGGGCGAGTCGGCGCGTGAAACAGAGTGGCGAGCGACAACAGCCACTCCTGACACTAAGCCTGCCTAGCCTGCCGATCCCAGTTCGGTGGCCACATGTCCGGGATGAAGAGGCGCACTCCAGCCAGCGAGTCGAGGTCACCAAGCTTTGACTGGAGATTGTTGACAAGCAGCTCAGCCATGTCGGTGCAGAGTGCGACACAGGCGTCATGATGGCCGGGTCCAGGGTAGTCCTTGTTTTTGCGCTCGTGAAGGTCGAAACGGAAGCGGTTCATGCTGCCGTCCGACGAGGCACCTTCCACCACCATCTGCGGCGACCCTTGTGGCCCGTGCTTGGCGATGAACCGATACAGATGCTCGCTGGTGCCGCCGCCGAAATCATCGCCACAGTCGATGTAGCGGCTCTCCAGGAGAGAGGTTGTGCGCACGATCTGCGTGTGCACAAGTGGGTAGTCGAGCTGCCACACACGAATCACACTGGTTGTTAGTACCAGTACTTAATAAAAACAATAATCAGGAAACCGTCACTTACCTCTCGATGCTGGAAAACCTTGGAGAGGACATCCAGCAGATCCAGCACGTCCGCTAGAAACCTCACAAGGAACTGGAAACGATACGAAGTTACCAACTCGTACATCGTTTGGTCCTTCCACTCGGACAGCATCACAATAATGGCGGGCATGACTTTGACGAAGCGCGACACTGCAGCACGCCGCGACAGCCATCGAACCTCGTGTATGCCTTGCACCTCGAGGTTCGTGGATGTGAAGACCTCTTGGAGCTCCATGAAGCGTTGGTGCCAAGGACCCGAACGCCCAAGGTACTCCGCGACGGCGCGGATGACGTCGTCGACCATGTTGAAGGTGGGGATCTCCTCTGCTGCAGCTTTGCAGCCAATGCTTCTCTGCAAGCAACACAACACACACAAGATTATATAGGTAAATAAAAACACTACCTTAAACATGCGGCTAAAATTGCAGAGCCAGGCGTACCGGTGTGCGATGCAGTGGAACGAGACGAGGTTGGGGATGAGCATTCGGATGCGTGCAACCACTCCTGTATGCTGCCCCACCATGACCATCGCCCCGTCTGTGCTCATGCCCGATATTCGGCGGAGGTCCACGCCGACAGCCCTGAGGTGGGAAAGGAGGAGGCCTGAAAGGGATGCGGCGTCTGGCTTCTCAACTGTGAGATGTGCGTGGAACTCGGTGACGACAACGCCATCGCGGATGAAGGTGGCAAACACAATCATGTGTTTGCCACGTCGCCGATCGGTGCTCTCATCCAGCGTGATCCCGATGAAGGGACTCGTTAGAAGATGCTCCAGCTGCGTTGTTTGGAGCCAAGTCGCGATTGCTTGAGTCAGCTCACCAAAGCCGTACCTGTAATAGAAAAAACACCACGGGAGTGAGCGACAAACAAAATGCAAATGTGAGGGCAATGTTTTGAAAAATGACGAAACACATGAAACACGTACGTGTTGTAGTACGTGCCGTAACCGTTCTCCGGAAACCCGGGCACCTTTTTCTTCGCGAGGTAGCGCACGAGCCGGATCCATGAGTCCATGGGCTCGTTGCACTTGCTCATGAAGTACAACGACTCCGCTAGTGCCGACATCTGCACCATCTCCTTGTCCTGCGCCTTGGGGTGTAGATCGATGCGGCGTTGTCCCTCCACTTTCTGCAGCAGGTCGTCCTGCCTTTGCAATGCTAACCGATGCTTCGAGGTACCCTCATTCTTCTTGAAGGCCTGCGTCTGCACATCGGTAGCGCCTTCTCCACGCCGTCCACATTTGCCTGCCAATCCCGCGAATTCCATGCAGATGCTGCACTTAAAAGAGGGGGCACCAGCAGCAGTCATAGTTAGTATCAGCCATGGATAATCTGTACACCACCTCGACTTGAAACGGTCGTGCGCTTCTTCGTAATTCAGCACAACTTTTTCGGGACGGGGTTTGGAGCTGTCCTGATTGGGTGATTCCTCCGCCACAGGAGCATGAACACTCGAAGCAGGTGGTGGAGTTCCCCACGCAATGGTTGCCTGCCGTAAACGCAACTTCGGTAGTGGCGCTTGACGGGATGGAGTTTCGTCGGACACCTCATGTAGCTCCGTCCGAGGCGTGTTTGTCACATGTTCTGTGGCGGCTTCGGGCAGAGAATCCAGGTGCACAGATTCTGGAGCGTGACTCGTGCTGGGCAGAGGCGGTGCCGCTGGCGGTGCACAAGGCGTAGCTAAGGACGACTTCAGAAAGTCGAGGCCCGTCGCCATGTCGCCTAGACGGCGACGACCTACATCGTCGTCGTCGTCCAACTCGTCCGCAGCAGTGTCCGTGGCAGCCATTGAGTCTGCCGAGCTGTGTTTTGCTAGGTTGGGAGAAACTGCCTGACACGAGGGATCAGGCAGTAGTAACAGGGGATGGCAAAGATCTGAGGGAGAGCCAGGCGACAGAGGGAATTGTAGGAACGGTCACGCTGGGTGAGTTGAGGAGGTCCCCTTTTAGGACCTCCTCAAGATGAAACCCTCACTGCTCCCTGCATGTACGTCACCTGGTCGTGTATGCAGCACAGGTGGGGTGGGGTGGATGGTTCTGGTGTCGTGCGTGGCGCAGCGCGCTGCGAGCTATGCGTTGGCAAGGAATGTTGCCAACGCTGGTTGCTGCACAGTCCCGATTGGTTGGAAATGTCGCTGATGGCATCTTTGCTGTACCAACGTGACAGAGCGGTGCCGCGGTGGGGAAATACAATTTATCGGCCGTGATTGACGGTGTTATACCTACACACCGCCTTGCTGGCCAGAATCCCCGTAATCTCGGTTTCAGAGTGCACCCCCGATAGTACGCTGAGGCACAGCGTACACTCAAACTTTAAGGCTGTAAGAACAGAGAAGGCATAAACAAATACTCTGGAAAATCAGCCAACATACATATAAAAAAACTTCGACTTCAGAGGAGTGTATAAAAAAAAGTCTGATCTAACGCTGAATCAGCGTAAAAAGTCATATACCTAGGGCCCTGTTGTTAACTAACTCACGCACCTTCTTGTCAAGGCTTAGTAGACTATACTACTCTACAGTTTTGTTTCCAGCTTAGGCACCAAACCCAGGTTCATATTGCTGTACACATTTGGTTGCGCCAGCTTGTTGAACAATATACGGTAGGTAATAAATTTTGTATGAATGCATTGCAAAAAAATGCGCAAAATTTGATACTAGATCAAGAATACTGTTATTTCTGCTAAAAAAATGCATTTAGGGAATCAATGTTGCTGAAACATCATTATTTCATTAACCCATGGTAACAAGTCTCACATTGTGCAAAACAATGCGAAACAGATGTATTTTAATAGTAAGCGAACCTTGTGAGAACACTTTATACAGCCTTTAAGCACAACCAGCATGGCAGTAACGCAAGGCACGACAGTAACGCTCCGCGCCACTTGCTGCCTCCGTCGGTAGGTGGCGGGGCGGCCACTTGCGCCGTACCGAGCCGCCTTGTCGGGCTGTCCATGCACCTGCCGCCAGAAACACGATTCCTCCTCCCCTTTCCTCTCCCTCCCAGTCCTCGCTTTCGCCTTATCCTGTACTGTGCGGTGCAGTGTGCTTCGTTACGTTACACATGCATCTGTCCTAACAAGGATGGAGTAAAACCACCGTAACAGACCTTACTAAACCACCACGTGTGCTAGCGTGGAGTTGTTGACCGAAGTGATTGTAGAGTGCCTGGTGGGTGCACCACAGGGGAGTAAAGAGCAAGCTCTGAACTGAACTGGTTGGAGAAGGAATTCGGCTCAGTTTGCTCAGAGACGCACCAGTCCCAACCGCCGTTTCGTATATTTCACACACAGGCGACGCGGATGGGGAGGAGCGGGCTGTTCTAGTAGCAAGAGAGAGTCGCGAGTCGTCGCAAGCGGCGAGGCCTCTAGAGACTTAATTTCGATTATCGCGAAGCAGCACGCACCGACCGGCCCTGCTTGCGCCACGTGTTGATTTCCTTCCTGAATTCCGCCAAAGCCGCGCATTTTCCGCCACCATGCCTTCGCCCCGCCCCGTCGATTCGCCGCCTCGCCCATCCGCGCATTCACCCCTCGCGCGCTCCTCCCGTCGTGGCCGCGTCGGGGCTTCCGCCCTTCCGGAGGCTCGGCGCGCAGCATGGCTGGCAGCTGTCGCAGTCGCCGTCGCCGTTGTCGCAATGGTGTCGCCTGCGACTGCTGGGCGACCCAACGTGCTGGATAACTTCCTCCCGCCCTGCCCCACCCTCGCCGAACCTACCAGTGCGCAACCCCGTCCCTTTCTCCCCCTCAGTCCCCCTCCTCTTTCCCGTCTAGCTCCTCTTTTCCCCTCTCCCCTCGCCCTTTCCCTTCTCTTCCTCCCCGTTCCCATCTCCCGTTTCCCCTCCTGCTTCCTTCCTCCTCCTGTTTCTCCTCCCCATCCCCCTTGCGCTCCCCTTACCCCCTCTCTTCCCTTGTCCCCTTCCATCGCGCCGTGGCTTGAATCTCCTCCCTGCCAGCATCCCTCCCTCCCTTTTCCCGGCTCGCTCTCCTCCCTCCCAACGCCCCTGCCCCGGCCCCTTCCCTCCCCTCAGCCCACCCGTCCATCCCTCCACCCAGCGTGCAAGAAGTGGAGCGACTTGGCAACGTGGGCCCCCGGGTCCATCCCAGGCCAGGGCGACGCCGCGGGCACCAACGTCACCATTCCCTGCGGTGAAGCCCCCCTCACTCCCCTTCCCCCGCTCTCCCTCCCCTCCCCCCAGCGTACAAGAAATGGAGCGACCCAGCCACGTGGGCAGGCGGGTCTCAGCATTTCCCGTCACCACTCTCCCCTCCTTCCCCCTTCTTTCCCCCCCTCTCCTCTTCCCCCCAGCGTACAAGAAATGGAGCGACCTGGCGACATGGGCAAGCGGGTCCATCCCGGGCCAAGGCGACGCCGTGGGCCATTCTGCTCAACACCTCGCCCATCGCCCTCACTCTCCTCAACATCCGCGGCTTCCTTCGCGTGCTCGACTCCCTCCTCACTTCCCTCCACTTCTTCCCCTTCTTCCCGTTCCTTCTTGTTCCCCTTTCCCCTCCCCCTCCCCATTCAGCGTACAAGAAATGGAGCGACCCGGCGACGTGGGCCCCCGGGCCCATCCCAGGCCAAGGCGACGCCATTGGAGCCAACGTCACCATCGTGTGCGGGGAGGCCATTCTGCTCGACACCTCGCCCATCGCCCTCACGCTCCTCAACATCCGCGGCTTTCTCCGCGTGCTTGACTCCCCTGCGCTCCCGAAGATCGACCTGTCCGCGGCGTTCATAGTGGTGCAGGGGAATTTCTCCATCGGCACGCCGCAGCAGCACTACAGGCAGCGGATCAAGATCACGCTCACGCCTAATCCCAACAACCGCGCGGACTATCTGTTCACCGAGAACCTTCCTGCGGAGCCCGCGTTTCCGCGCAATCTCGGCCACAAGGCGTTTGCAGTCGTGAGTTGCGCGTCTCCTCTGCTCTCTCCTTGCCTCTCTCCGCCCCTCCTCCCGCCTGCTCTCCACTCGCCTTCATCCCCCTTCTCCCCTCGTGACCTCCCTTCCTTTCCCTAATGGCTCGTCTGCTGTTTTCACCTGAGCGATCGGGTGATTGTTGCGTCCTGGTTGATACACGTCTGTTGTTTCCTCTCGCCCTCACCCACCTCTGATACATGATGATTGTTCAATACTCTTTTCTCTGTTTTTGTCAGGTGGGCGGCCAGGTGGATTTCCACGGCATGCCAGGTGGCAGCAGCACGCCCGCGTGGACGAAGCTGACGGCGACAGCTCAGCCCAACGACCTGGTGATTACAGTGCAGGATGACGTCAGCTCGTGGCCTCAGGACGCCTTCGTTGTTGTCACATCCACTGACTACTTTCCCGACCAGGCGGAGGTCGTAGGGATTATTGATGGTACGTTGCAGGCTTAGGTGGGCCTGCTGAACCGCTCCATCGCTCTATTGCCATCACACTGCCTCTGCTGTCAGCCGTCGCTCTGGCCCCTGGTTTCGCTGCCACCCAACAGTCAACTGTCGGCCCCCACCCTTCCCTCCCTCCGTTCCTCCCTCCCTTCCCCCTCCCCTCCCCACCTTCAACAGTGGTGGCCCTCCCGTCGGGCGGCTCGAAAATCTTTCTTGAGAAGCCGCTTCGCCTGATGCATTTCGGAGATCCCAAGGGCGTGCCGGACGGCTACGGAGGCTTCGTGGACCAGCGGGCCGAAGTGGCCCTCCTCAACCGCTCCATCGCCATCACGGGAACAGACGAGCCGGCGCCGTACCACCGGGAGGGCGGGCACTTCATGATCTTCATGAGCAACACGCCTCAGTTCATTGAAGGCGTGGAGTTTGCCCAGATGGGGCAGCAGGGCAAGCTGGGGCGGTATAACATTCACTTTCACGTGTGCGGGGATGACGCGGGGCGGAGTGTTGTGCGGAAGAACGTTATGCATGACAGCAAGCAGGTGAGGGAGGGGTGGTGGTGGGGAGCGGGTGAGAGAGGGGTGGGGTGGTGGGGAGCAGGTGAGAGAGGGGTGGGAGCAGAAGGTGAATCTGGGGCAATATGCGGGGATGACCAGGGGTGCAGCGTGGTGCGGAAGAACGTTATGCATGACAGCAAGCAGGTGAGGGCGATGAGAGGGACATTATATCCATCCAACTATGAAGTTGGTGAGAAGCAGGTGAGGGCGATGAGAGGGACATTATATCCATCCAACTATGAAGTTGGTGAGAAGCAGGTGAGGGCGATGAGAGGGACATTATATCCATCCAACTATGAAGTTGGTGAGAAGCAGGTGAGGGCGATGAGAGGGACATTATATCCATCCAACTATGAAGTTGGTGAGAAGCAGGTGAGGGCGATGAGAGGGACATTATATCCATCCAACTATGAAGTTGGTGAGAAGCAGGTGAGGGCGATGAGAGGGACATTATATCCATCCAACTATGAAGTTGGTGAGAAGCAGGTGAGGGCGATGAGAGGGACATTATATCCATCCAACTATGAAGTTGGTGAGAAGCAGGTGAGGGCGATGAGAGGGACATTATATCCATCCAACTATGAAGTTGGTGAGAAGCAGGTGAGGGCGATGAGAGGGACATTATATCCATCCAACTATGAAGTTGGTGAGAAGCAGGTGAGGGCGATGAGAGGGACATTATATCCATCCAACTATGAAGTTGGTGAGAAGCAGGTGAGGGCGATGAGAGGGACATTATATCCATCCAACTATGAAGTTGGTGAGAAGCAGGTGAGGGCGATGAGAGGGACATTATATCCATCCAACTATGAAGTTGGTGAGAAGCAGGTGAGGGCGATGAGAGGGACATTATATCCATCCAACTATGAAGTTGGTGAGAAGCAGGTGAGGGCGATGAGAGGGACATTATATCCATCCAACTATGAAGTTGGTGAGAAGCAGGTGAGGGCGATGAGAGGGACATTATATCCATCCAACTATGAAGTTGGTGAGAAGCAGGTGAGGGCGATGAGAGGGACATTATATCCATCCAACTATGAAGTTGGTGAGAAGCAGGTGAGGGCGATGAGAGGGACATTATATCCATCCAACTATGAAGTTGGTGAGAAGCAGGTGAGGGCGATGAGAGGGACATTATATCCATCCAACTATGAAGTTGGTGAGAAGCAGGTGAGGGCGATGAGAGGGACATTATATCCATCCAACTATGAAGTTGGTGAGAAGCAGGTGAGGGCGATGAGAGGGACATTATATCCATCCAACTATGAAGTTGGTGAGAAGCAGGTGAGGGCGATGAGAGGGACATTATATCCATCCAACTATGAAGTTGGTGAGAAGCAGGTGAGGGCGATGAGAGGGACATTATATCCATCCAACTATGAAGTTGGTGAGAAGCAGGTGAGGGCGATGAGAGGGACATTATATCCATCCAACTATGAAGTTGGTGAGAAGCAGGTGAGGGCGATGAGAGGGACATTATATCCATCCAACTATGAAGTTGGTGAGAAGCAGGTGAGGGCGATGAGAGGGACATTATATCCATCCAACTATGAAGTTGGTGAGAAGCAGGTGAGGGCGATGAGAGGGACATTATATCCATCCAACTATGAAGTTGGTGAGAAGCAGGTGAGGGCGATGAGAGGGACATTATATCCATCCAACTATGAAGTTGGTGAGAAGCAGGTGAGGGCGATGAGAGGGACATTATATCCATCCAACTATGAAGTTGGTGAGAAGCAGGTGAGGGCGATGAGAGGGACATTATATCCATCCAACTATGAAGTTGGTGAGAAGCAGGTGAGGGCGATGAGAGGGACATTATATCCATCCAACTATGAAGTTGGTGAGAAGCAGGTGAGGGCGATGAGAGGGACATTATATCCATCCAACTATGAAGTTGGTGAGAAGCAGGTGAGGGCGATGAGAGGGACATTATATCCATCCAACTATGAAGTTGGTGAGAAGCAGGTGAGGGCGATGAGAGGGACATTATATCCATCCAACTATGAAGTTGGTGAGAAGCAGGTGAGGGCGATGAGAGGGACATTATATCCATCCAACTATGAAGTTGGTGAGAAGCAGGTGAGGGCGATGAGAGGGACATTATATCCATCCAACTATGAAGTTGGTGAGAAGCAGGTGAGGGCGATGAGAGGGACATTATATCCATCCAACTATGAAGTTGGTGAGAAGCAGGTGAGGGCGATGAGAGGGACATTATATCCATCCAACTATGAAGTTGGTGAGAAGCAGGTGAAGGGTGGGAGGGAGCACACAGGTGAGAGAGGGGTGGTTGGTAATGGGGAGAAGGTGGGGAGTGGTGCACCTGTCATTTTCCACTCTCAGCACCTTCTTGTCTTGCTGCGTCTCCCTGTGTTGCCTCTTCTCCAGCGCTGTGTGGTGGTGCACGCGACGTTCAACCTTCCTTGCTTTCAACGTATGCTCTTTCCTCTGTGCTCTCTTCCTCTTCTCCTCCCCTCCCCACCAGCGTTGTGTGGTGGTGCACACGATCTTCAACCTCACGGTCGAAGAGAACGTGGCATACCACACGAGGGGCCACTGCTTCATGGTGGAGGAGGGGGGGGAGGGGCGAGACCGGCACTCACTGTCTGCTCTTTGCCCTTTGCGCTTTGCTCCTTGCATCCCTCACACCCCTCCCCACCAGCGCTGTGTGGTGGTGCACACGACGTTCAATCTCACCGTCGAAGAGAACGTGGCATACCACACGAGAGGCCACTGCTTCATGGTGGAGGAGGGCGGCGAGACCGACAACACCTTCCTGCGCAACCTCGGCATCTGGACGAGAGCAGGTGCGGTGAATCTGGACGACAGCAGGTGCGGCGAATCTGGACGAGAGCAGGTGCGGTGAATCTGGACGAGAGCAGGTGCGGTGAATCTGGACGAGAGCAGGTGCGGCGAATCTGGACGAGAGCAGGTGCGGTGAATCTGGACGAGAGCAGGTGCGGTGAATCTGGACGAGAGCAGGTGGGGTGGAGCAGCTAGAGGGCGGGGTGGGAGATCGGCAACACCTTCCTGCGCATCGTCAGCATCTGGACGCGTGCAGGTGCGGTGACTCTGTCAAAAACAGGTGCAATGAATCTGGACAAGAGCAGGTGCGACGAATCTGGACAAGAGCAGGTGCGACGAATCTGGACAAGAGCAGGTGCGACGAATCTGGACAAGAGCAGGTGCGACGAATCTGGACAAGAGCAGGTGCGACGAATCTGGACAAGAGCAGGTGCGACGAATCTGGACAAGAGCAGGTGCGATGAATCTGGACAAGAGCAGGTGCGACGAATCTGGACAAGAACAGGTGCGACGAATCTGGACAAGAGCAGGTGCGACGAATCTGGACAAGAGCAGGTGCAATGAATCTGGACAAGAGCAGGTGCGACGAATCTGGACAAGAGCAGGTGCGACGAATCTGGACAAGAGCAGGTGCGACGAATCTGGACAAGAGCAGGTGCGACGAATCTGGACAAGAGCAGGTGCGACGAATCTGGACAAGAGCAGGTGCGATGAATCTGGACAAGAGCAGGTGCGACGAATCTGGACAAGAGCAGGTGCGACGAATCTGGACAAGAGCAGGTGCGACGAATCTGGACAAGAGCAGGTGCGACGAATCTGGACAAGAGCAGGTGCGACGAATCTGGACAAGAGCAGGTGCGACAAATCTGGACCCCACCCAGACGGAGGAGAGGGACGAAAACCGTCTCCTTTCTCCTCACCAACCAGGCACCCTCCTTTCCTGCCCCTCCTCCCCCCTTCTGTCTCTCCACCTCTTCCCCCTCTCTCCCCCTCCTCCCCCTATCACTGGAAGTTCGCGCTGTCATCTAGCATCTAATCCCACCAGGTAGGAGGAGGGGGATGACAGCTTGTCATGTCCCCCTTGACCCTTCTCATGTCCCCCTTGACCCTTCTCATGTCCCCCTTGACCCTTCTCATGTCCCCCTTGACCCTTCTCATGTCCTCTAGCTTCTCGTGTATCCACCAAGACGGAGGAGATGGACGACGCCCCCTCCACCTTCTCACCTACTAGACACACTCCTTTCTGCCCCTCCTTTCCCCTTCTTCCTGTCTTCCCCATCTCCCACCCTTCCCCCGCAACAGTGGAGGTTCTCATCCCGCTGTCAGCAGCCGACCCCACAAAGGCGGACGACAACCCGGCCACCTTCTCATGTGCACGTGACTTGTACCTTCTCCCCTCGTCCCCACCCCCAACCACCCCCTGCTCCCCCTCACCCCCTCTTTCAACAGGGGAGGTGCTGATCCCGCTGTCAGCAGCCGACCCCACCAAGACGGAGGAAACAGACGACAACCCGTCCACGTTCTCGTTCACCCAGTGCTTGCCTTACTCCCTTTCATCTCTCTCTTTCCCCTCCATCAACCCATCCCCCCTTCCCCCTCAACAGTGGAGGTGCTGATACCACTGTCAGCAGCCGACCCCACTAAGACCGAGGAGACAGACGACTCCCCGTCCACGTTTTGGATCACCCACCCCAACAACAACTTCATTGGGAACGTCGCCGCTGGCTCTGAGAACTCGGGGTACGTTTCTTCTGCTTTTCTCTGTGCACTCGTGGGTGTGACTTTAGACGGTGGGGAGCATCGACGCCCCGTCCACCTTCTGGATCACCAACACCAACAGCTTCATTGGGAACGTGGCGGCCGGCTCTGAAAACTCAGGGTATGTTCCAATTAGGGCGCATTCTGATTGGGTGCACGCGCACGAGGAGAGGAAAGTAACCCATCACCATCACAGACAGACAGACAGACAGTCAGGGGTGCGTTCTGATTCCAGCGCGGCAACAACCCGTCCACGTTTTGGATCACCCACCCCAACAACTACTTCATTGGGAACGTTGTGCTGGCTCTGAAAACTCGGGGCGGGTTGTGAGTGAGGTGGGTGGGTGGGGTGGTTGTGAGTCCGTGCAAGTGTGACTGTGAGAGCAAGTGAGTGATGGCAGACAGGCAGACTGGAGGTTGACAAACCTCACCGTCTTCTCGATCACCATTCACCCCAACAACAGCTCCCTCGGCGGCTATGATGCCGCTGGCTCTGAGAACTGGGGGTGGGGTGCGAGTCCGTGCAAGTGCGGCTGTGAGTGTGGAGGGACGGGAGGGACGGGAGGGACAGACAGATCGATTGATTGGTACAGATAGGGTAGGAACGGGGAGGCTACAACCTTACAACTTTGCTCGTGCCCTTACAACTTTGCTCCCCTCCCTCCCGCGCACAACCCCCCAACCAACCAGTTATTGGATGGAGCTGAGGGACAGGGTGCGCGGATTCATGCTCTCCTACCCTGGGCTCAACGCCACAGTGCCGGCCAATGGCCCCTTTGCTATCCACCCCTCTGATCTATGTCCCTGTCTCCCCTTGCCACTCTTCCCCCCCTCTTCCTGCACACAACCCCCCTCCGTCACAGCTATTGGATGGAGCTGAGGGACAGGGTGCGCGGATTCACGCTCTCTTACCCTGGGCTCAACGCCACAGTCCCTGCCAACGGCCCCTTTGGCATTTATCGTGACAATGTGGCCCACAGCAACCGAGGGCCGGGGTGGAGGACTTATCCCAAGGGGGTGCGACCCAGGCAGACTTGGTCGCTGGAATCTCCGATCCCCCAGGTACGCAGAGAGGGAAGCAGGCAATCAGCAGAGCAGGAGAGCAGCACATGCCCCACCCCACCACAGCAACCGAGGGCCGGGGTGGAGGACTTATCCCAAGGGGGTGCGACCCAGGCAGACTTGGTCGCTGGACTCTCCGATCCCCCAGGTACGCAGAGAGGGAAGCAGGCAATCAGCAGAGCAGGAGAGCAGCACATGCCCCACCCCACCACAGCAACCGAGGGCCGGGGTGGAGGACTTATCCCAAGGGGGTGCGACCCAGGCAGACTTGGTCGCTGGACTCTCCGATCCCCCAGGTACGCAGAGAGGGAAGCAGGCAATCAGCAGAGCAGGAGAGCAGCACATGCCCCACCCCACCACAGCAACCGAGGGCCGGGGTGGAGGACTTATCCCAAGGGGGTGCGACCCAGGCAGACTTGGTCGCTGGACTCTCCGATCCCCCAGGTACGCAGAGAGGGAAGCAGGCAATCAGCAGAGCAGGAGAGCAGCACATGCCCCACCCCACCACAGCAACCGAGGGCCGGGGTGGAGGTCGTACCCCAAGGGGGTGCGACCCTGGCAGACCTGGTCTCTGGATTCGCCTATCCCTCAGGTAGAGATGCATGGCAGGAGAGTGGGCCGTGGAGAATGCATGTGGCCGACAGCAACAGAGGGCCGGGCTGGCGCACCATCAGAGGGTTGACACTCGCCTGCACAATGCATGTGTGTGTGTGTGTGTGTGTGTGTGTGTGCACACAAACCCTTAAACCTCTCACCACCCCACCCCACCTCTCTCCCCAACCGCAGTGGCAGTGGAAGCCGTCTACAGGAACCATCAGCGGGCTGCTGCTCTACAAGCAATCCGGGGACGGGTGAGTGGTTTGGAGGGGCAGTGACTGGTTTGGAGGGGCGGTGAGTGGTTTGGAGGGGCGGTGAGTGGCTTGGAGGGGCGGTGAGTGGCTTGGAGGGGCGGTGAGTGGCTTGGAGGGGCGGTGAGTGGCTTGGAGGGGCGGTGATTAGCTTGGAGAGGGGCGGTGAGTGGCTTTCTGTAAGGCAGCTAGCAGCAGGCAGTTAAACCAGTCCCATGGGCAGCTGTCACGCGCCCCAACCTACTTTCCTTGACCAATGCATGACCCTCAGCCACATGATTTCTTTTAGACTGCTGCTCGCCTAATCACATGGCTGAAGGTACTTTCCTTGACCAATGCATGACCCTTCTGCCTGATGGAAGATAAATTGGAGTGACTTTTGAGAATTCTCATAAATCGGTCGACGGCATTCTCATCACTCGCTTACGCCCCTTCCTCTTCCCCCTTGCGCCCGTCCTTGCACCCCCCTCCCCCCTCCACAGCTTCTTCATGTGCAGTTGAGATGGCATCATCATCACCCACTTAACCTTCTCCTCTTTCCCCCTCCCCCTCTCCCTCCCTCCCTCCCTCCCCGCCCCCCCCTCCCCCCTCCCTTGCAGTTTCGTCATGCACAACTCAGACGGGCTCATCAGCACCAACAGCACGTTTGCTGACAACCCCCATGGGCTGAACCTGCTGGGCAACACGGGCGGGCGCCGGCATAACTGACAGCGGAACTCAGTCCATCAGAGGCTTTAACCTACCAAGCAACACCATCTCTTCCCAATCCCCCACCCCACCCATTCGCCTTTCCCCCCGCACACACCAGATTCTTTATGCACAATCCAGACGGTCTCATCATCACCAACAGCACGTTTGCTGACAACCGCCAGGGGCTGAACCTGCTGGGGAACACACACCTCACCTTAACCCCCGCACCCTCCCTTTCTCCCTTCTCCTCCCACCTTTTCAACCCCGCCATCGGAACCTTTCTTCCCCCATCGGCCCCGTCCCCCCACACACCAGTTTGTTCGTGCACAATTCAGACAGGCTTATCATCACCAACAGCACGTTTAATGACAACCGCCAGGGGCTGAACCTGCTGGGCAACATCTCAACTCCCGTACCCTCCCTTGCTCCCTTCTCCTCCCACCTTTGGCACCCCCCCCATCGGAACCTTTCTCCCCCCGCCGGCCCCTTCCCCACACACCAGTTTGTTCGTGCACAATTCAGACGGGCTTATCATCACCAACAGCACGTTTGCTGACAACCGCCAGGGGCTGAACCTGCTGGGCAACACGGGCGTGAAGGTGACAGACAGCCGATTCATTGGGGTGACGCCCAACTATGGCAACCCCCGCATGTGTGACTCCACGCCGCAGATGTGTGGGCCTGTCACCGGCTGCGAGTGAGTATAGCTTGTGATGGGAGGGTTTCAGTGAGTATTGGGTGGAGCAGAGGGAGTGATGGAGTGAGGGAGCAGGGAGCAGACTAAGAGGGTGACAGACAGCCGGTTCATTGGGGTGACGCCCAAATATGGCAACCCGCGCATGTGTGACTCGACTCCGCAGATGTGTGGGCCTGTGGCCGGCTGCGAGTGAGTGTTGGGGTGGGGCAGGGGGAGTGAGGGAAGGGAGTGAGAGTGAGAGTGACAGACAGCCCCCTTGGTGTTCGTGGGGGTGTCTCCCTACTATGGCTACCTACGCATGTGTGACTCCACACCGCAGATGTGTGGGAAAGTGTGAGGGGTTGTGGGAGCGGAGGGAGTGAGAGAGAAGAGGGAGTGAGAGAGCAGAGGGAGTGAGAGAGCAGGGAGTGAGGGAGCAGAGGGAGTAAGGGAGCAGAGGGAGTGAAGGAGCGGAGGGAGTGAGGGAGCAAATGCAGTGACTGAGGCAGGCAGCAGAGGTAAGCTAGCAAATGTCTGAACGCACATAATTTCATGAATGTCTTTGCCCAAACTCAAAACCGTAATGCAGCTTCCCACTGGCGCCAGGGCAGCAGGGGCGGTCCCAGGGGCGGTCGCATTGGAAGACCCCCACCTTCGGCATCATCCATCTCACTCTCTGTGCTGTGCACGTGTGTGTGGGCATGTGCGTTGATGTGCCTCCCCCATGCAGCTTCCCCCTGGCTGCCGGGCAGCAGGGGCGGTCACAGGGGTGGTCGCACTGGAAGAACCCCATCTTCGGCATCATCATCGACCATCCCACCTTTGGATTCGACTTCGCCCGCGCCCACGCCATCTCCAACTGCCGGTGAGCCGCCTCAACACCCTGCTCTCTGTCCACCCACCCGTCCGCTCCGCTCCTGTCCATCCGTTGTCTCTCTGTGAATTTGTACACCCGCTTTCTCTCCGACCGCTCCCCCCAACCTCGTACAACGACCTCTTTCTGCAATCCATCTCATCCCTCCCCACTGCACCGCACCCCTTGGAACCTCACACCATGGCGCCCCACTTGACTTCACCGCACTGAGCCCCTTTGCAGGTTCCACGCGTATGACAGCACGTGCCGCCTAGCTGCTGCCATCGGCGCGGGCATCAACGGAGCTCCCAAGGACACGTGGGCCACGGCCACCAGTGTGCAGGTGCGTGGGGTGATTACCGCATAACCCGTGGCTGTTTACTGTCGGGTGAGTGAGCGCCTTGCCTTGTTGTGTGGCATATGACTAGCTGCTGCCGGTACAAGGGTCCTGCCACCTGCCATGGGCGCGGGCATCAACGGAGCTCCCAAGGACACGTGGGCCACGGCCACCAGTGTGCAGGTGAGTGAGATGAGAGCGCTACTGTCTCGCCGCTGCCTGAGCCTTACCATGTGCCCCTTCACTGGTGGCTGCACTGCACTACTGGTACCAGTGAAACGTAGGCAGTGGAGCACCGAGAGACCCGTGCTCTGAGCTCCCTGCAACCTCATTCCCCACCTCCACCTACGTTTCTATTTCGGTCATTTCTCATCTCAATGCCTCTCTCACTCACCCCATGTCAACCCCTGTGCCTGCCCGTCCCTCTCATCGCACCAGTCCCACTGACCTCTTTCTCCTCCTCGACCACATTTCTCCTCCCCTCCATGCCCCCACCCCTCTCATCCCAACCCTCTCATCCCACCTCACTCATCCCACCCCTCTCATCCAATCCTATCCCATCATGGCAGGCTGTGACAGGCACACCCGGCACCAACATGCTCTACTTTCCTCCCCGCAACTTCACCTTCCCCGTGAGTGCTGCTGCTCCCTTCCTCCCACCTGACCTCGCACGTGAGCTCTCCGTGAGGTCCCCGTGAGTGCTGCCAGCGGAAGCTCACTGCCCAACTCCTCCTCTGGTGTGCACTTTGCCACCACTGCCCAACTCCTCCTCTGATGTGCACTTTGCCACCACTGCCCAACTCCTCCTCTGGTGTGCACTTTGCCACCACTGCCCAACTCCTCCTCTGGTGTGCACTTTGCCACCACTGCCCAACTCCTCCTCTGGTGTGCACTTTGCCACCACTGCCCAACTCCTCCTCTGGTGTGCACTTTGCCACCACTGCCCAACTCCTCCTCTGGTGTGCACATTGCCACCACTGCCCAACTCCTCCTCTGGTGTGCACTTTGCCACCACTGCCCAACTCCTCTGGTGTGCACTTTGCCACCACTGCCCAACTCCTCCTCTGGTGTGCACTTTGCCACCACTGCCCAACTCCTCCTCTGGTGTGCACATTGCCACCACTGCCCAACTCCTCCTCTGGTGTGCACTTTGCCACCACTGCCCAACTCCTCCTCTGGTGTGCACTTTGCCACCACTGCCCAACTCCTCCTCTGGTGTGCACTTTGCCACCACTGCCCAACTCCTCCTCTGGTGTGCACTTTGCCACCACTGCCCAACTCCTCCTCTGGTGTGCACTTTGCCACCACTGCCCAACTCCTCCTCTGGTGTGCACTTTGCCACCACTGCCCAACTCCTCCTCTGGTGTGCACTTTGCCACCACTGCCCAACTCCTCTGGTGTGCACTTTGCCACCACTGCCTATCCCCCACCCTGCTATGTTTGCCCCATACGTCTCAGCTCAAGGGCCAGGACGCACGACGTGTTTGACGTGCCGGTACACTTCCCTTTCCCTTTCCCTTTCCCTTTCCTTTTCCCTTTCCCTTTCCCTTTCCCTTTCCCCTTGCTGCGGGCTTGCAGGCTGTAGGGTCACGGTTCCTTCAGCCATGTGATTAGGCGAGCAGCAGTCTAAAAGAAATCTTTAGCAAAGGATTAACAGTACGATCTGTTGTTGTTCCTGCTAAAAACAAAGAGTTTCAAGAAATCCGACTCAAAATTCCACTCAAAGATTAAAACGAGGCAAACTAGTTTCGGGTGACGGGACAGGCCCCAATCACACCTTCATCAGTGCAAGTGGAAATAACAGATCATCACACCTTCATCAGTGCAAGTAGATTTCCACTTGCACTGATGAAGGTGTGATTGGGGCCTGTCCCGTCACCCGAAACTAGTTTGCCTCGTTTTAATCTTTGAGTGGAATTTTGAGTCGGATTTCTTGAAACTCTTTGTTTTTAGCAGGAACAACAACAGATCGTACTGTTAATCCTTTGCTAAAGATTTCTTTTAGACTGCTGCTCGCCTAATCACATGGCTGAAGGCTGTAGGGTCACCGGTTCTGCAGCACGGGGTCAGTGATATTGGCATCAATGATCCACGTCTCCCTTTTGAGGCGCCTCAAAAGTCATCCACGTCTCCCACTGTCAGGGTCGCGTGCAACGACATCCGCCTCCCCACTCTCTCTCTCTTCTTCACTCCCCACCCATTACTACTTCCCACCCACCCCAAAAGGGAGGAGACGTGAACAGAGGAGGAGAGGCAACAGACCTGTACACTCTCTGGGACAAAGACGGCTCTCTGCTCAACGCCACTGCCGGAGGCTACCTGCTGGCAAACAACACCGCCCTGCTGCCCCCCACCAAGCGCTTCCCTGCTTGCCAGCCCGTGCCCGCTTGGAACGCCTATGCGTGCCCGGGGACGTGCTACCGTACTGTCATGTTTACTTACCTGGAGCCGGCGTTTGCTGTGTATGAGAACAGCAGCGTGCCGGATACACGCAAGCGAGGGGACTTCAGGTGAGGGAAAAATGGCTAATGGATGGAAGTGAGTGGATGAGTGGATGTGGGGATGAGTGGGTGGGGGAAAGGAAAGGATGGATGGGGGAAAGAGTGGATGGGAGAAAGAGTGTATGGGGGAAAGAGTGGATGGGAGAAAGAGTGTATGGGGGAAAGAGTGGATGGGAGAAAGAGTGTATGGGGGAAAGAGTGGATGGGAGAAAGAGTGTATGGGGGAAAGAGTGGATGGGAGAAAGAGTGTATGGGGGAAAGAGTGTATGGGGGGATGAGGGGAGTGGAGTGAGTGCCGGATGTGTGAACTGGAACTGAGTGGTGTTGATGGAAACGAGGTGACTTTTGAGTCGACTCAAAAGTCACCTCGGAACTGAGTGGTGTTGATGGAAACGAGGTGACTTTTGAGTCGACTCAAAAGTCACCTCGGAACTGAGTGGTGTTGATGGAAACGAGGTGACTTTTGAGTCGACTCAAAAGTCACCTCGGAACTGAGTGGTGTTGATGGAAACGAGGTGACTTTTGAGTCGACTCAAAAGTCACCTCGGAACTGAGTGGTGTTGATGGTGGTGTGGGACAGTTTGGACTCACGCTGTCCCTGGTGGTTTTTTGAGATTCCTCAAGAGCTGTGCTGTCCCTGGTGGTTAACTCCTCTCATACCCTCCATCGCTTACCCTATTTGCTACACTAGACTTGTTACCCACTATTTGTTGCCCTCTTCCTGCCATCCCCTGCTCTCTGCTACTCCTCTCCCCGCCACCCCTCCACTCCCTATTACTCCCCCCCTCTCGCCGCCTCAGCTACCTCTCCATTCGGCGGCGCATAGAGGACGACACAGTCATCACAGTGGACGGCAAAATGCGATCTATCAGCAACCCACGATGCCCTTTTCTATGTCCCTGTATATTTCCACCCCTCTTCTGCCCCCTCCACCAACCCAGCTACCTCGCCATTCGTCGCATAGAGGACGAGACAGTGATCACAGTGGACGGCAATTTGCGGTCTATCAGAAATACATGAGCACATAGAGCGCACATTCTGTTCTACTAGTAACCCAGCATTGTTTACCCTCATTCCACCCCTCTGCTACCCTGCTATACTGTCCTCACCCATCCCAATTACCTCTCGATTCGTCGCATAGAGGACGACACAGTGATCACAGTGGACGGCAATCTGCGGTCGGTGGGCAACACATCGTGACCCAACTTACCATCCTATTTACCCTATTTTAATCGCATTTTACCCCATTGATACCCTTTCCTCACCCAGTTACCTCTCTATTCGCCGCATAGAGGACGACACAGTGATCACAGTGGACGGCAATCTGCGGTCGGTGGGCAACATGTGGACAGCAGGGCAGCGCATCTTCGTGGTGCCCCTGCTGGCGAACGCCACCTACGAGGTCAACATAGGGTTACCGGGTAACAACCGCGCCTTCTTCCCCAGCAACATCACGGTGCAATTGCGCGACAGCAACGGGTGCGGCGGGCCGGTGACTCTGAGGATTCCGGCGAAGCAGAGCAACCAATGGATGATCAATGAGGAGCAAGACGTGAACTGGAAGTGAGTATTGCTGGGGCTGGTGCTGCTGCTGCTACTGTTTGTTGCTGGTGTGGTCACATAATTTATTAGTGAGCCTTGGGACTCTGAGGATTCCAGCGAAGCAGAGCAACCAATGGATGATCAAGGAGGAGCAAGACGTGAACTGGAAGTGAGTATTGCTGGGGCTGGTGCTGCTGCTGCTACTGTTTGTTGCTGGTGTGGTCACATAATTTATTAGTGGGCCTTGGGACTCTGAGGATTCCAGCGAAGCAGAGCAACCAATGGATGATCAAGGAGGAGCAAGACGTGAACTGGAAGTGAGTATTGCTGGGGCTGGTGCTGCTGCTGCTACTGTTTGTTGCTGGTGTGGTCACATAATTTATTAGTGGGCCTTGGGACTCTGAGAATCCCAGCGAAGCAGAGCAACCAGTGGATGACCAATGAGGAGCAAGACGTGAACTGGAGGTGAGTGAAGGTGCCTCTGCTGGTGCTGCTGGTGCTGCTGGTGCTGAATGCTGATGGTTGTTCAAATTCAGGCCCACTTCCGGGCTGCCCTTTATTCACCCTCCACCTGCCCACGACTCTTCCCTTCCCCACTACGCTGCAGGGCCTGCGCGGGCACATCAGACAAAGCAGCGGTGCAGTTCTCATTCGTGTGCTTCAAGTTCAAGCCAACTCTCGAGCTCTTTTTCGACGGAACCTCCTCCAAGCCAATCGTGCTCCGCGCCTCCGCAAACCCTGTCACCGGCTGCCGCCTCCCCTAGTAAGCACCTCCCCCACCACCTCTCCCCCATCGGTGATGGCAGGCATACCTGCATGCACCCCTGGTTCTATCCATCTCGTGTTGTTGCCACCCCTAAACCCTAAACCTCTAGTGGGCCACTGGAGTCCTCATGGGCGTACGATGTGAGTGGCAGGGATGGCAGGGAGCTGCATGCTTGGGTTGCACCTGTGCTTGTTCCCAACTGTCTATCCCTTACTGCCAGTCGCTGCGGCCTCGTGGCACTGGGGTCAACATGGGCATGCGACGTGAGTGGCAGGGAGCTGCATGCATCAGAGCTTGTCCAGTTTTAAGACTTCTCATTTTTGAGACGTCTCAAAACTGCAGCCTCGTGGCACCGTACCCAACATGGGCATGCGACATGGAGCTGCATGCAGCACTGCTTGTCCTCAATTCTCTCTGTTGCCATCCCTCCCCAATCCCACCCCCCTTTTCCACCAGTCGCTGCGGCCTTGTGGCACCGGGGTCCACGTGGGCATACGATGTCAGCGGCAGGGAGCTGCATGCGGCAGTGACGGGCGCCATGGGCTTCAGCTCTCCGCGCTTCAACGATGCCAGCTGGCCGCGAGGCCCGGCTATCATTGGCTATGTGGGATGTACGTGTGTGGGGGTGCTGGCATGGCTTGTGGTGTGTTGCTGCATGCAGCAATCTCGGGCGCCATGGGATTCATCTCAACGCGACGCTTCCTGGCCCCGCGGCCCTGCCATCATAGGCTATGATGACGGCATGTGGGTGAAGGCATGTGGGTGAAGGCATGTGGTGAAGGCATGTGGTGAAGGCATGTGGGTACAGTACAGACAGCATGAGTGGCAGGGAGCTGCATGCGGCAATGACGGCGCCGTGGGCTTCAGCTCTCCGCGCTTCAACGATGCCAGCTGGCCCAGGGGACCCGCCATCATCGGCTATGTTGGTTGGATGTACGCGTGTGTGTGTGTGTGTGTGTGTGTGTGTGTGTGTGTGTGTGTGTGTGTGTGTGTGTGCGCGTGCGTGCGTGCGTGCGTGCGTGCGTGCGTGCGTGCGTGCGTGCGTGCGTGCGTGCGTGCGTGCGTGCATGCGTGCGTGCGTGCGTGCGTGCACGTGTGTGTGTGCTGGCATATGGGTGGCATGGCATGTGAGTGAAGGCATGTGGGAACAGAAACACAGCATGAGCGGCAGGGAGGTGCATGCAGCATTGACGGGCTTCAGCTCTCCGCGCTTCAACGATACGTCCTGGCCCAGAGGACCAGCTATCATCGGTCATGCGAGATGTTACGTGTGTGTGTGGGGTGGCATGTGGTTGTTGTCAGACTGTGCGACCAGACCAGGCTCACAACGTGAGTGGCATGGCATCAAGCAGCATGCAGCAGTGACGGGCGCCATGGGCTTCCCTTTTCTGTTGGCACATGCTTCTTCCCCATCCTCCTTTCCTCCCCTCATCCCACCCGTTTCAACCCCCCAGGGCGGTGGGTCGGCATCAACACATGGACACCCCCCTCAGGAGACGCCCTGCCCACCTTCTACTACCGGCGGCCGTTCCGAGTGGCCAACAGCGCGTGTGCCACGGGGCTGTATGTGGACGTGATCGTGAACGACGGCGTGCTTCTCTATCTGAACGGGGTGGAGATGCTGCGAGTCAACATGGCACCCGGCGCTGTGAATGTTTCCTCGAGGGTGAGTGAGACGCTAGTGGCTCTCAACCTTGAGACCGTGCTGCTGTGCGCGCATGTGCCAAGTGGTGCCAACAGCACATGTGCCACGGGCTGTATGTGGATGTGATAGTCAACGATGGCATGCTGCTGTACCTCAACGGGGTGGAGATGCTCCGAGTCAACATGGCTCCTGGTGCGGTCAACGTCTCCTCAAGGGTGAGTGAGACTGTAACAATACAGTGGTGAGACTATAGAATTCACTGCGTGAGACAGCATGGTGCTGTGCATGTGTGTGCCACGGGGCTGTATGTGGATGTGATAGTGAACGACCGCGTACTCCTCTATCTTAACGGGGTGGAGATGCTGAGAGTCAACATGGCACCTGGTGCTGTCAACGTGTGGTCGAGGCGAGGGTGAGATTATAACAATGCAGTGGGTTAGACAGGGGCTGCTGTGCGTGCATGCGTGTGCCACAGGGCTACATGTCATTGTGATAGTGAACGATGGTGTGCTGCTGTACCTGACTGGGTGGAGATGCTGGGAGTCAACATGGCTGCCGGCGCTGTCAAGGTGTCGTCACGGGTGAGAATCGCAAGAAGCGGTGTGCTGGTGGGGTGAGTAAAACTGTAACGTGTCCTCTAGGTTGAGACTTACACAAGACCCCTCTTCCATCTATGCCCCCCCAATCTCCCCAAACCCCGCTTCTATCTCGTTCTCCTCTCTCCTCCAGGCCCTATCCAACCAGAACGTGTGGGTCTACACGTCCTTCTTCATCCCTCTCAACGCCACAGCACCCTTCTCTCTCGCGGAGGGCACCAACCACATCGCCGCCGAATCACACGCCGCCATCTGGACCACCGAGAACTTCTTTGACCTCAAACTGTCCGCCCAGATGGAGTGAGTTGTTTGGGCGAGAAGACATAGAGTTGTTGGGTTGGGGGAAACGGTGGTATGGGGGAATGGATTGGAGGACTCAAGATACCCACCGCACTGCAATGCAGTCGCACGCCACCATCTGGACCACCGAGAAATTCTTTGAACTCAAACTGTCCGCCCAGATGGAGTGAGTTGTTTGGGCGTTCTGAGTTGTCTCAACAGATAGTGCGAGTGGCTGATTGGTGGCAGAGAGGTTGGTATGGTGGATTCTTTTGAGTCGACTCAAAAGCTGATTGGTGGCAGAGAGGTTGGTATGGTGGATGGGATTGGAGGACCCAACCACATCGCTGCCTTTTGAGACGTCTCAAAAGTCAACAGGTAATGTGAGTGGTTGGTTGCTGGCAGAGAGGTTGGTATGTTGGATTGGAGGACCCCAACCACATCGCTGCCGAGTGATCAACGGTGCCATCCCAATCCTTAACCTCAAGCTATCACCATCTTTGACCTCAAGCTGTCACCATCTCTCTCCACTCTTCTCCTTCCTACCTCGTCTCCTCATTCTTCTCCTCGCTCTTCTCCTTTCTCGTCTCTTCTTCTCCCCACCGAGCAGTAGCGCAACATGCAGTGGCGTGCTCATTCTGCAGGAGGTGTGCGACGGGCTCGACAACAACAACGACGGTGAGCAATGGTGCATGGTGGTGCATGGTTGGTGCATGGTGGTGCATGGTGGTGCATGGTTGGTGAGGGGGACTGAACGCACATAACGGTGGTCTCATACTGCAGGAGGTGTGCGACGGGCTCGACAACAACAACAACGACGGTAAGTCGGGGAATGGTAGTGAGGGGGTGTCAATAGCGGACAGGTGGGCTGCAGGGTTTCGGGTTTAGCGGATAATGCCTTGCTTCCATCAACTCGTGCTATTCTAGGGCAACGAGACAAACCCCATGGGTTTGTGGAAGAAAGGAGCCTGGTTAAGCGCGAGCCCAGAACGTTTTTTAGAGATGAAGTACTCTCCGCTCTACAACAACAATGATGGTGAGTTGGGGAATGGTAGTGAGAGGGTGGATAATTGTGGGACGATGGACGATTTGTGAGGGGGAATGAACAATCAGAAAACACACACCCTGCCTCCCACGCACCCCTGCCGTCCGTGCCCGACCCTTACATGCACCTGTCCCTCCCTTAGTTGGTCCTTCACGTTTTTTAGGGTCACGTAAACGTAAGCTTACGTTGAGTTTACCTTTATGTTTTCTTACGCGTAACATTATGTAAAGTCGCACGGGCAGGGCAAAAGAAGTTTTTTCGTCTGCGAAATGGAAAAATCTGATTGATGTGAGGTGGGAGAGGCTGTGACATGTCGGTGTACATGTGGGGCATCTTCAAGTTGATGTAATAATGTGCTAACATGTTTGGGCATAGAAGAACCAAGCTAATGTTTGATTAGGCGCTTCCCATGTAGCCACTTAGTCCGATCAATACTTCTCTTTCTGGGCTTACTCTCTCCCATCTAAACTCTAGCATCTCACCTTCTCACCAACAACAACCATCATTGCCAACAACAACCATCATTGCCATACTCCCGTCCCCACAACCCCCCTCCCCACTCCCCCTCCTTCCCCAACCCCCTTCCCTCCTTTCTCCCCTTCCCTCCTTTCTCCCCTTCCCTCCTTAATCCCCTTCCCTCCTTACTCCCCTTCCCTCCCCCCTCCCCCCTCTCCCCCCTCCCCCTCCCCCCAATCCACAGGCAAGGTTGACATAGACCCACTGACCGACCGGCTTCTCACGCGCCCGTGCCGCAACCCCTGTGGGGCAGGAATAGAGACGTGCATCGATGGGGCGTTTCAGAACTGCACTGCTCCCGTGCACGGGCCTGAAGTGTGAGTGGTGTGCGCAGGGGTTGGTGCATTGTACTCTCAGGGAGTGTGAGTCGCCAGGTCGAGAAGCAAGTTCTGCACTTTACCCTTCCCACTCCTTCACTCCCTTCTCCTCTCCAATGCTCTCTCGCCGTTCATATTTTTCTCCTCACCGCCACTCTTTCCTCTCACTGCTCCCTTTCACTCCCCTCCCCTCCCCATTTAGCTGCAACGGGGTGGGCGACAACTGTGACGGTATTATCGACAACTCGCCCTCCCCAGCCGCCCCTCAGCTCGACTGCGCCAATGGCTCTCTGTGCTCCAAGGGGCAGTGACAGCTGTGAAACGTGCTATCCTCCTTCTCAGCCCTCCCTCGCCTGCCTCTCTTCCCCTCTCCTCTCCCCTTACAGGCGCAACGGCGTTGACGACTACTCTCACCACAACTTTTGAGTCGACTCAAAAGTCGCCTGCCTCTCTTCCCCTCTCCTCTCCCCTTACAGGCGCAACGGCGTTGACGACTACTCTCACCACAACTCGCCCTCTCCAACCACTCCTCAGCTGGACTGCGCCAACGACTCGCTGTGCGTCAGTGCCTGCTGTGACACATGTCATCGAGGTGACTTTTGAGTCGACTCAAAAGTCGACTCGCTGTGCGTCAGTGCCTGCTGTGACACATGTCATCCCTCTCTCGCTTGCTTCTCCTCCCTCTCCTCTCTCCATTCAGCTGCAACGGGGTGGACGACAACTGTGACGGGCTCATCGACAACTCGCCCTCTCCAACCGCCGCTCGGCTCGACTGTGCCGACGGCTCCCTCTGCTTCAAGGGGCAGTGCCTGCCGTACGGCCCTCTCACCGCACCCGTCACAGTGATCAACAAGAGCGCTGCTGGCTGGCTGTACTACGATAAGGGGTACCTTCCGCAGTCCTACCCCACTTGGAGCACCAACAGGTGAGAGTGAGACCGTCGGACCATGGGAGAAAGGCAGCTTGGGACTTGATGTTACCTGTGCTTCAAGGGGCAGTGCCTGCCTTACGGCCCTCTCACTGTGCAGCTCACAGTGATCATGGTAGCGTCACCAACCTCTCGCAGCTCAACAGTGGCGACTCCGCCTACTTCCTCCTCAGGAGGAGCTCTCGCCCCAAAGCCCTCTCGCCCAGCCCACATCTTCCTGTCCCTTCCCCGCTTCCTTCTATTCCCCTCTGCCCCTCACAGCAACGTGCCAGCTCACCTACTCAAGGAGGGCGCAGCACCGTTTGGATTCAACTCAACATCGCCCACGGCCACCAACCTCTCTCTCGCAGCTCACCAGTGGTGCCTCTGCCTACTTCTTCCCCTCAAGTCCCACTCTCCCACTCTGCCACTCTCCCTTGCGCCCCTCTGCCCCTCTCCCTTGCGCCCCTCTGCCACTCTCCCTTGCGCCCCTCTGCCCCTCTCCCTTGCGCCCCTCTGCCCCTCTCCCTTGCGCCCCTCTGCCCCTCAACAGGAACGTGCCAGCGCATCTCATGAAGGAAGGGGCAGCCCCGTTTGGCTTCAACTCAGCGACAGCCGCGGCCACCAACCTGTCGCAGCTCACCAGCCTCTCTCCCCTCTGCCCCTCTCTGCCTCCACAGAAACGTGCCAGCACGTCTGCTAAAGGAGGGAGCAGCACCATTCGGCTACAACTCAGCGTCCCCCACGGCCACCAACCTGTCGCAGCTCACCAGTGGCGACTCCGCCTACTTCTTCCTCAAGAGCTTTGCTCTCACAGAGGAGGAGGCCAACAACACCTGGAGCTACTGTGGGTTGCCGCCCCTCCTTTACCTGCGTCTCTTTCTTACCTGCGCCTCTTTTCATTGATCAACTGCTTTATACCTCCACCCACGACCTGCTGTTGTGTTGACCCTACTTGCCTCTTCCTCAAGAGCTATGCGCTCACAGAGGAGGAGGTCAGCAACACCTGGAGCTACTGTGAGTTGCAATCTCTGGGTCCCACACCCCCCTCCTCCACTTTACTCCATCCTCCTCCGGTCATTTCCTCCTCTAGAGCCCTCTCTTTTGTTATGACTCTGCTTTTCTCTCTCAAGGGTTTCGCCCTCACAGAGGAGCAGGCCGACAACACCTGGTGCTCTGCGAGTCAGCACCCTGAACCCGTGGTCAACAACACCTGGTGCTCACAGTTGGTTCTTTCCTTCAAGCCATCAGGTTCACTCCCCTTCCAAGTCCTGTTGCCTCTTCCCACGTCTTCCTCAAGAGCTTGGGGCGCTCCCTTATCCCTTGGAACCACAGAGCACCACTGCATTTCCCCGCACCTCATCACAACCACATTCTCGTCTCCCACTTCCTTTCAACCCCTCGTGTCTCGCTCATCCTCACTTGCCCTGTCCTTCCCCACTCCCCCACAGCCGCGTCCGTCCAGACGGATGACCGAGCAGTGCTGCTGATGAGTGGCGCCGAGTGTTCTTCCGCTCCAACATGCCTTTGACTCCCTCTTTCTCCCCTCTCTCCCCCATTCCCCCGCCTCCCCACACAGCTGCGTCCGTCCAGAGGGATGACGGTGCTGTCCTCCTGATGAACGGAGCCGAGTTTTTCCGCTCCAACATGCCTGCTGGCCCCATCACCTCCGCATCCTTTGCTGCCACCGGCACGTGGGGGGCCGACAAAACCACCTTCTTCAACAGCACGCCCTTCCGATCCATCGCGCAGTTCCTGCAGGTAACGTATATTGTTCCTGCAAGGTAACATGGTTACTGCAGGCAGCAGGATCACTGCAGGTAACCACTTACTACTGCATGTGACACGGCACGTGGGGGGCCGACAAGATCACCTGCTTCAACTGCACGCCCTTCCGATCCATCGCGCAGTTCCTGCAGGTAATACCTTCCCTTGGGTGATCCATGACCACCTTCTTCAATACCCGAACTGCAGCGGGTAGAGCCGTCGCTGCCGGTGCTGCTTCTCTCAGGTATAACACCAGTCACAGCTGTTCAAGCACACTCTCTCTCTGCTCCCCCTGCAATCCTCTTCCCCCTCCCTGTCGCTACCCCCCCAAACCCACCAGCCGGGCACCAAATGGGTGGGTGTGCAGCTGCACCAGTCACAGCAGCCAAAGCATTTGACCTCGCCAATGCCCGGATGCACGTCCCTTGCACCCTCTCCCTCACATACTTCTCTTCCCCCCATCGGCCGGGCACCAACTGGGTGGGAGAGCAGCTGCTTCAGTCGCGCTAGTCCAACCTTTTCCATGCGAATGCTCCATACCCATCCGTTGCCTACTCTCCCTCCCATACTCCCCCTCTCCCCACCACCAGCCCGGAACCAACTGGGTGGGAGTGCAGCTGCATCAATCGCGCTGGTCCAGTGATGCCCTCACCATGCCATGCGCCCCTGCTCCCTCCCCACATGCCCCACACCCTCTCTTCCTGCTGTGCCTCCCATCTCAGCCGGGAACCAACTGGGTGGGAGTGCAGCTACATCAGTCGCGCTGGTCCAGCGATGCCCTCTTCGATCTCGAGCTCACCCGCCACGCCATGCGCCCCTGTTCCGCCCTCGAAGGCTCGCCTGCTGCCTGTGTCCGCACACCCCCGGCTGACACTCTGCTGCTTGCGGTGAGATGCGATGCGCACAAACTTAGGATCAACTGGCTTGTGCCATGTGCCATACGCCACGCCATGCGCCCCTGCTCTGCTCTCAAAGGCTCTCCCTCTGCTTGTGTCCGCACGCCCCCGGCTGACACCCTGCTGCTCGCGGTGAGAAGCGCACACACCTAAATCATAACCCGCATGTACCTTGCTGCCCTGCTCCGCCTCAACCGGTTACGATGGATGAGCTGCCATGTGCCACGCGCCATGCGCCATGTGACATCTGCCGTGCGCCATGCACCATGTGCTATGTGCTATGTGCCATGCACCATGCACCATGCACCATGCACCATGCACCATGCACCATGCACCATGCACCATGCACCATGCACCATGCACCATGTACCATGCACCATGCACCATGCACCATGCACCATGCACCATGCACCATGCACCATGCACCATGCACCATGCACCATGTGCCATGCACCATGTGCCATGTGCCATGCACCATGCACCATGTGCCATGCACCATGTGCCATGCACCATGTGCCATGTGCCATGTGCCATGCACCATGCACCATGCACCATGCACCATGCACCATGCACCATGCACCATGCACCATGCACCATGCACCATGCACCATGCACCATGTGCCATGCACCATGCACCATGCACCATGTGCCATGCACCATGTGCCATGCACCATGCACCATGCACCATGTGCCATGCACCATGTGCCATGCACCATGTGCCATGTGCCATGCACCATGCACCATGTGCCATGCACCATGTGCCATGCACCATGTGCCATGCACCATGTGCCATGCACCATGTGCCATGCACCATGTGCCATGCACCATGTGCCATGTGCCATGCACCATGCACCATGTGCCATGCACCATGTGCCATGCACCATGTGCCATGCACCATGTGCCATGCACCATGTGCCATGTGCCATGCACCATGCACCATGCACCATGTGCCATGCACCATGTGCCATGCACCATGTGCCATGCACCATGTGCCATGCACCATGTGCCATGCACCATGTGCCATGCACCATGTGCCATGCACCATGTGCCATGCACCATGTGCCATGCACCATGTGCCATGTGCCATGCACCATGCACCATGTGCCATGCACCATGTGCCATGCACCATGTGCCATGCACCATGTGCCATGCACCATGCACCATGCACCATGTGCCATGTGCCATGCACCATGCACCATGTGCCATGCACCATGTGCCATGCACCATGTGCCATGCACCATGTGCCATGTGCCATGCACCATGCACCATGTGCCATGCACCATGTGCCATGCACCATGTGCCATGCACCATGTGCCATGCACCATGTGCCATGCACCATGTGCCATGCACCATGTGCCATGCACCATGTGCCATGCACCATGTGCCATGCACCATGCACCATGTGCCATGTGCCATGCACCATGCACCATGCACCATGTGCCATGCACCATGTGCCATGCACCATGTGCCATGCACCATGTGCCATGCACCATGCACCATGTGCCATGTGCCATGTGCCATGCACCATGCACCATGCACCATGCACCATGCACCATGCACCATGCACCATGTGCCATGCACCATGTGCCATGCACCATGCACCATGTGCCATGCACCATGCACCATGTGCCATGCACCATGTGCCATGCACCATGTGCCATGCACCATGTGCCATGCACCATGTGCCATGCACCATGTGCCATGCACCATGTGCCATGCACCATGTGCCATGCACCATGCGCCATGCACCATGCGCCATGCACCATGCGCCATGTGCCATGTGCCATGCACCATGTGCCATGCACCATGTGCCATGCACCATGTGCCATGCACCATGTGCCATGCACCATGCACCATGCACCATGCACCATGTGCCATGCACCATGCACCATGTGCCATGCACCATGTGCCATGTGCCATGCACCATGTGCCATGCACCATGTGCCATGCACCATGCACCATGTGCCATGCACCATGTGCCATGCACCATGTGCCATGCACCATGTGCCATGCACCATGCACCATGTGCCATGCACCATGTGCCATGCACCATGCACCATGTGCCATGCACCATGTGCCATGTGCCATGTGCCATGCACCATGCACCATGTGCCATGCACCATGTGCCATGTGCCATGCGCCATGTGCCATGCACCATGTGCCATGCACCATGTGCCATGCACCATGTGCCATGTGCCATGTGCCATGTGCCATGCACCATGCACCATGTGCCATGCACCATGTGCCATGTGCCATGTGCCATGCACCATGCACCATGTGCCATGCACCATGCACCATGTGCCATGCACCATGTGCCATGCACCATGTGCCATGCACCATGTGCCATGCACCATGTGCCATGCACCATGTGCCATGCACCATGTGCCATGTGCCATGTGCCATGCACCATGCACCATGTGCCATGCACCATGCACCATGTGCCATGCACCATGCACCATGTGCCATGCACCATGTGCCATGCACCATGTGCCATGCACCATGTGCCATGCACCATGTGCCATGCACCATGTGCCATGTGCCATGCACCATGCACCATGCACCATGCACCATGTGCCATGCACCATGTGCCATGCACCATGTGCCATGTGCCATGTGCCATGCACCATGCACCATGTGCCATGCACCATGTGCCATGCACCATGCACCATGCACCATGCACCATGTGCCATGCACCATGTGCCATGCACCATGTGCCATGCACCATGTGCCATGCACCATGTGCCATGTGCCATGTGCCATGTGCCATGTGCCATGCACCATGCACCATGTGCCATGCACCATGTGCCATGTGCCATGTGCCATGCACCATGCACCATGTGCCATGCACCATGCACCATGTGCCATGCACCATGTGCCATGCACCATGTGCCATGCACCATGTGCCATGCACCATGTGCCATGCACCATGTGCCATGCACCATGTGCCATGTGCCATGCACCATGTGCCATGCACCATGCACCATGCACCATGCACCATGTGCCATGCACCATGTGCCATGCACCATGTGCCATGCACCATGTGCCATGCACCATGTGCCATGTGCCATGTGCCATGTGCCATGCACCATGCACCATGTGCCATGCACCATGTGCCATGTGCCATGTGCCATGCACCATGCACCATGTGCCATGCACCATGCACCATGTGCCATGCACCATGTGCCATGCACCATGTGCCATGCACCATGTGCCATGCACCATGTGCCATGCACCATGTGCCATGCACCATGTGCCATGTGCCATGTGCCATGCACCATGCACCATGTGCCATGCACCATGCACCATGTGCCATGCACCATGTGCCATGCACCATGTGCCATGCACCATGTGCCATGCACCATGTGCCATGTGCCATGTGCCATGTGCCATGCACCATGCACCATGTGCCATGCACCATGTGCCATGCGCCATGTGCCATGCGCCATGCACCATGTGCCATGCACCATGCACCATGTGCCATGCACCATGTGCCATGCACCATGTGCCATGCACCATGTGCCATGCACCATGTGCCATGCACCATGTGCCATGTGCCATGTGCCATGTGCCATGTGCCATGCACCATGTGCCATGCACCATGTGCCATGCACCATGTGCCATGCACCATGTGCCATGCACCATGTGCCATGCACCTGCACCATGCACCATGTGCCATGCACCATGTGCCATGTGCCATGTGCCATGCACCATGCACCATGTGCCATGCACCATGCACCATGTGCCATGCACCATGTGCCATGCACCATGTGCCATGCACCATGTGCCATGCACCATGTGCCATGCACCATGTGCCATGTGCCATGTGCCATGTGCCATGTGCCATGCACCATGCACCATGTGCCATGCACCATGTGCCATGTGCCATGTGCCATGCACCATGCACCATGTGCCATGCACCATGCACCATGTGCCATGCACCATGTGCCATGCACCATGTGCCATGCACCATGTGCCATGCACCATGTGCCATGCACCATGTGCCATGCACCATGTGCCATGTGCCATGTGCCATGCACCATGCACCATGTGCCATGCACCATGCACCATGTGCCATGCACCATGTGCCATGCACCATGTGCCATGCACCATGTGCCATGCACCATGTGCCATGTGCCATGTGCCATGTGCCATGCACCATGCACCATGTGCCATGCACCATGTGCCATGTGCCATGTGCCATGCACCATGCACCATGTGCCATGCACCATGCACCATGTGCCATGCACCATGTGCCATGCACCATGTGCCATGCACCATGTGCCATGCACCATGTGCCATGCACCATGTGCCATGCACCATGTGCCATGTGCCATGTGCCATGTGCCATGCACCATGTGCCATGCACCATGTGCCATGCACCATGTGCCATGTGCCATGTGCCATGCACCATGCACCATGTGCCATGCACCATGCACCATGTGCCATGCACCATGTGCCATGCACCATGTGCCATGCACCATGTGCCATGCACCATGTGCCATGCACCATGTGCCATGCACCATGTGCCATGTGCCATGTGCCATGCACCATGTGCCATGCACCATGTGCCATGCACCATGTGCCATGCACCATGTGCCATGCACCATGTGCCATGCACCATGTGCCATGTGCCATGTGCCATGTGCCATGCACCATGTGCCATGCACCATGTGCCATGCACCATGTGCCATGCACCATGTGCCATGCACCATGTGCCATGTGCCATGTGCCATCTCCCTGCTACTTCTCACACTCCCTCCGCTTTCCAACCCAACTTCTTTCCCTCTCCCTTCCCGCCTCTTCCCCTCCCCCTCTCTCCCTTCCTCTGCCCACCTTCCCTCCCTCCCTCCCTCCCTCCCTCCCTCCCTCCCTCCCTCCCTCCCTCCCTCCCTCCCTCCCTCCCTCCCTCCCTCCCTCCCTCCCTCCCTCCCTCCCTCCCTCCCTCCCTCCCTGCATGCAGCAAGGGTCCACATGGGCCTACAACGACGCCTCCCTGCCACCGCCCAACCCTGACACTTGGTTCCTGCCCTCCTTTGATGACTCTGCATGGCTCAAAGGTGCGTCTCAGAGACTAGAACGATACATGCCAACTGCCCTTCCCTCACTCCCTGCCTTTACCCCCTGACACCTGGTACCATTTTTTAGGCGCCTCAAAACCGCGAGTCATGAGACGATTTTTGAGGCGCCTCAAAAAAAGTTGCTCCCCTCGTTTGATGACTCTGCATACCTCAAAGGTGCGTCTTAGAGCAGCAGGGCAGCGTGCCCCACCAGCCTCACCCTCAACAGCACCACCACCGCTCCCACCACCCCTAGCACCTCCTCCATCACTGCCCGGCCCGCACGGCACACTACTTCCACCGCGCCTTCACTGTCACCGATGCTGCCTCGCTGCCTGCCACGTGGCCCTCACTTCTTCCTTCCTGCCCTCCCTCCCCCCTCTCCACCCAGGCCCCGCGTCCCTAGCAGCGGGCAACAGGGCGGGCACCAACCTCACTCTCAACAGCACCACCAGTACCAGCAGCACCCCCATCACTTCTTCACCCCTTTCCTCCCTTTTCCCCGCTCCCTTCCCCTTTCCCCACCACCCAGGCCCCGCGCCCCTAGCAGCGGGCAACAACAGGGCGGGCACCAACCTCACTCTCAACAGCACCACCAGCGGCTCACGAGTGGCACACTACTTCCGCCGCGCCTTCACTGTCACCGATGTTGCCTGGCTACCTGCCACGTCACCCTCATTCTTTCCCCCCCTCCCCTCCCCTTTCCCCACCACCCAGGCCCTGCACCCCTAGCAGCAGGCAACAACAGGGCGGGCACCAACCTCACCCTCAACAGCACCACCAGCGGCTCACGAGTGGCACATTATTTCCGCCGCGCCTTCACTGTCACCGATGCTGCCTGCCACGTGGCCCTCACCGTCTCCTTCAACATTGCTGATGGCGCTGTGAGTGCTCCTCGCATCGATGCTCACATTTATGCCCTCCTATTGCCTTCACTGTCACCGATGCTGCCTGCCACGTGGCTCTCACCGTCTCCTTCAACATCGCTGATGGCGCCGTGAGTGCTTGCATCAGTGCTTGCGTCAGTGGATGGGTGTGCTTTCAGCTGTGCCAGTAGCTCGGTCCTAAGCCCACGCCTGTGCCATCTTATTGCATTCACTGTCACCGATGCCGCCTGCCACGTGGCCCTCACCATCTCCTTCAACATCGCTGATGGCGCTGTGAGTGCTCAGTGCTTGCACCAGTGCTCGTGTCAGGGTGCATGGGTGTGCTTTCAGCTCTGTCCCGCCAGCCAGCTGGGCACTGTGCGCCATATCTGTGCCTTGCTGTTGACTCTCACTGCTGTGCTCTCTGCTGTGTGCCTCTCACAGTCTCCCTCAACGTCACTGACGCCGCTGTGAGCTTTCCTGCCCATCACCACTCCCATTTCATCTTCCCGCCCACACCACACCTGTCCTCCTGTCCACCCGTGCCCACATTTCTGCCCACGTCTCTGCACCTGCCCACATTCTTCCACACCTGTCCACCCGTGACACTCTTCCTCTCTGCTCTCCTTGCCCTTACATCTCCCCACTCTTTCCCCCTTCTTACCCCTATCCCCCTTTTCCCCCCCTTCCCACCTCCCCCTCTCGGGTGGTGTATCTGAATGGCGTCGAGGCATAACGCTTCCAGATGCTTTTCAAGACGTCTCAAATCTATCTCCCCCTCCCCCACACACCCCCCACTTCCCCCCCTGGCTTTAACCCCCATCAGGTGGTGTACCTGAACGGGGTCGAGGCGTACCGCTTCCAGATGCCGCCCCCCTCATGGGGCCCGGTCACGCCGGCCACCAACGCCACGGGCGGCTATGTGTGGCGGTGGGTGCCGTCCGTCCTGTCGGGTGGGTGGCTGCAGCAGGGGGCGAATGTGATCGCGGTGGAGGTGCATCAGCAGAGGAGCACCAACACTCTGCTCACGTTTGACGTGCAGGTTACCAGCAAGAGGGAGGCCATTGCCTGCACTCCTGCCCCACAGTAATACTCTGCTCACGTTTGGTCGTGAGAATTCTCAAAAAGGACCTACAAAGAAATGGATGCAGCAGGGGGCGAATGTGTTGGCAGTGGAGGGAAGGTGCATCAGCAGCAGAGCAATGAGCACCAACACTCTGCTCCCGTTTGAGGCGCGGGCTACCATCAAGAGAGAGGGCATTGCGTCCACCCCTGCCCCACTGTAGCCTCTGATGCTATGATGATTCTGTAGAGATGCTACTGTTCATTTTGTACAATACGTGTAATATTGTAGGATACCTTAGGTAGGTCATTTCTTTTATTGTATGATTGCGAATTCCGTACCAATGGAGCTTATGCTGGCTGGCACTGTACACGGCTTAAAACATCGTACTTTGTTTGCGGAAAGCCCATGAGTAAAGCTTTTTTTTGCTTCATTTCTTCAACTAGCATCAATAACGTGTTACCCTCCACAACCTATTGTCACTCTCAAAGCGAGCCATGAGGGTTCAATGCTCATGCTTATTTGACATGGCAAACATCTGTTGCTGAGGGCAGTTCACCTCCAGTTTGCTGGCTCGTGCTTATTTGGCAGTAGTTGCTGACAGTCTTGAGAGCTCCTCTGCAAGGGGTGTGGTGGATGGGATGTATACAATACAGAGGGAAGAGCATATCAGGACTTACAAAGGACGACAAGGAAACAGGGATGTACCATAGAGATTAAAAGCAGGCCAAAAGACGCGTGACAAAAAGGAAAAACGGGAAAAGGTGCAGGCAGGATATGAACCTCCATTACTAATTCTTCCTACCTTGCTTCTTCTCCTTAAGCGTACTGCTGTCGGTGAGGAAAAAGATAGCGCCACGCTTCTGATAAGCAGCCTGCGAAAACATGGCACCATCTTTTTAAAAAGCAGACTGTTGATAGTAGGGGAATTAAGAGGGAATAGCAGCCTAATCAGTCACTGCGCAAACAAAGAGTCTGACCCATTTCATTGGTGATTTCTATTTTTCCATGAACTATGCACAGCTGAGGATAACAGGACAAGGGTACGTACCCGGCCAGAAGGCGACTTTTGAGGCGCCTCAAAACTGAGCACAACGAGACGAGGAGGTACGTACCCGGCCAGAAGGCAATGAGGAGAGCTCAGCACAAGCCACCTGCAGTTCCTGCACCTGCTGAGGTAATGATACAGAGGGTATCTATAAGAATGCTTTATTTTGCGAAATCAAATTATAAGAACGCTTTCTTTTGTTCTAATCCAAGCAGAATTGTCGATTGAGCTGAGCAAACCTAGAAAGGAATTGTTACAGAAACGCACAGAAACAGCGGAGATCGCAGAAGCAGGGAGTAGAGTAATACCTTCACGTTCTGCTCCTTCTGATGTTGTGGGGTGCTTGCCATAATGAGAAGCAAGGTTGGATCGGCAGACTCTAGTAAACCCTCTGAGGGAGGGAGGTCAGTGGCTACCAAAGATTTCTGCTCACCATTGAAAGGCGGGAAGGAAATGCAATTGAAGGAGGGGAATCGTGATGACGGGGCGCCCAGAGGAATCCACGTGTACCTCGAGAGCCCCTCAAGAAAAGGGAGTGCAACAACCACTGATATCATGTCACACCACAGACACAACGTAATGACTAATGGTTATTCACGCTGCAAGGGAGGTAATGGTGGGTGGTTGGAAGTTCCAAAGTTCCAAAACAATAAACCATGTGCTTGAAAGGAGATATGACTTCTATACAGATGTCCCTCACCGAAATGAGCAGCAAGAGGCAACCCTTTACAAGGTGGGGAAGGGAGCTCACAAGTCCTTCAGCCTTGGAAGACAAAATTCAGAGGCTTGGCAGTGGTGTTGGCACTCAAAACACTGCCATGAAGTGGGGCGAATGAGGCAGGGTGAAGGGCAGCGGAATAGTGAGGGAATAACAGTGGAACAGTGGGCGAAGGGCAGTGGAACATGAGGGAAGAGCAGTGGAGCAGAGGGGGAACGGCAGTGGAAGATTGAGGAATGGGGAGTAGCGGGGGTAAGGGGAGCTCGCGCATTGAGATTGCATCCGCTAGGGAAAGTGGGGTTGAGGGTTGTTCATTAAAGACGCTAACTGAGTGGACAGCATGATATTTTTCAGAGACGGGACTCAGAACAACTAACTTCACACAAAATCCGCAGCCATGAATTGACACCACGGCACCTACTTGGTGCTCCGTCGCATGCGGAGGTGCGCTCGACAGCAGGAAACTAGAGGGGAACTTGCTTCGAGCCGCTTCAGAAAAAGAACTATTCTAGACAGGAACGCGGAGCCAAAATGGCTCGACGGCTCGCAGTGGCGGATGTCCCCGCACTCTGGTAAGATGCGTATGGACAATGGCCTAAGTCACGCTCACTCGCGCGTCTTGCTTGTTTCGGTGGCCAATAATTTGACACTCCAGTACTTGGTTGCGCGAGACTCGTCAAGGCTTTTCAGGGATCGTCAACCCTAAGATTCCGACCTGACCTAGTTGTGCTCAGATAGCCAGCGACACTCTCGCTGCTCAAGCGCGCCGCGCGATACCCTCTAGCCATGGATTGGCACTGCTGACTGTTGATGTTTTGCGTCCTGTTGTGGTGATTCCTTCCCCACTCTCGCAGAGAGCACACAACATTGTGCGAACTTCGTGAGATGGGCTGAACGACAACTTCAGTAACCAGAGAGGTACGCGACACTCGGCTAACAATTTCGACACTTCACAACCTCGCGTACCAATCGCGTCGGTCCGACCAAACAACGAATGTCCAAATAGCCTTTGGAACTCGTTGAAGGGGTTCACTGGGTGGACTCCACCCACATGCCTATGCTCTCAGATTCGCAAGCCACATTTCCCAGCGAGCTACAGTGGAGTGCTAGCGCGGGTGAAACTCTGACAGCTTCAGGGTAGATTCTAGGTTCCAGTTTCACAAGCCAGTCGTTTAGCAACTTAACTAGAGCCATGGGCCGGTTCGCGTGGATTCTCATCGCGCTCGTCGCCCTCCTATCAGCTACGTCCACGTCAGCGCTTGTCTTCACGCTGCTCAAACGCGAGTGCTTCCAGCATTTCGTGCCGAAAGGCGGCGAGACCGTCCACGTGTCGTTCGTCGTGATCAAATCAGATTACAACTGGGGAGGCGGGGAGCAGGCGAAAATCGATTTAACGGTAAACAGCCACTAGGATCTGCTCATCATGACGCAATAGTAGGTCGAATCTTCTCATCCATTCTCACAGAAAGCATCGACGAAACAAGACTCGAAGCCCTCTTTCGGAGCGTGGCTTTCGGTGTTTTGAGACTTCTAGACTTCTTAGGTTTTGCTCATCGTGCACACACGCGTCAAGTGGAGGCCTTTCGTCGTATGTTCCTCTCTAATTCGTTGGAATCCTCATGTGGAGGACCCCCAGGAGACACGCGGTTCGGATCATTGCTGCTGGTCGCGTGCTCAAACCACCAGGTGGAGACCTCAGGGGCCACGTGGTGCGGAAGGAAAAGGCGAGGAGGCAACGTAAAGGCACTTTGACCTCGCCGTTGTGCACCCTCCTCCCCTCCTCTCCCCTCGCCTCCTCCCCCCTCCTCTTCCCCGCCTCCTTCGTGAATTCTACGACCCAAGGTGGAGGATCCCCAAACCACGAGGTACGGAAGGTGGAGGCGACGTCGAGAAATTGTTGCTTTGCCCCCTTCTCCTCCTTCGGCGCTCCTCCATTCTCCCCCCACCCCTCCCCCGTGAATGCGACCGCCAGGTGGAGGACCCAAGGGGCCACGTGCTGCGCAAGATAGAGGCGAGGACGGACGACAACTTCATGGTCACTGCTGCCGTTGACGGCTTCTTCAAGTTCTGCTTTACGACTGACTCCGCTGTGCACGAATCCGTGGCGTTCGATGTGGAGAACGGCCACCCAATCACCACTGAACACGTGGCAAAGAATGGTGAGGCGACAATGAAAAAGGGGGCACATTGCAAAGAAAGTTGAGTTAACAATAGTAAATGGGAAATATGGCAAAGACCAATAATCTAGCAATGGGGCGACAAAGAGTGGCTCTTTATTTGAGTGCAATGCTTGGGGGCCAGGTCTCAAGTTTTTCAGGCTCGTATGTGGCCCTTCTTGTATGTGCGCACCAAGCATGCCAATCCCTGCTACTGAGCGGCTCTTACTCACACATGCCCCGTCTCTCTCCTCTGTTCTTGCCCGTGCGTCTGTCCTATGCGGTCGCTCATGCCTCTGTGCTTGCTATTCTTGTGTGCATGCCCGTGCCTCTGCATGTGCATGCGAGCAGATCAAATCGAGCCACTGGTGAAGGAGGTGCATCGGCTGCAGAGGGAGGTGATGCGCACCAAGCATGAGATCCACTACTCCTTCTACCTCGCCGAGCAGCATGCAGAGGGTGAGTGGCATTGTGGCAGTGCTTCTGGGGTTTTTCTAGGTAGCACGGGTTGGTTTGAGGGGTGGATGGGCATGATTGCAGCACGAGGAGGGAGGGAGGTGATGCGCACCATGGATGGGATCCACTACTCCTTCTACCTCGCCGAGCAGCATGCAGAGGGTGAGAGAGTGGTAGCACGGCAAGATGAGGATCTTGATAGCAGGGGGTTGCGTTGAGGGTTTACGTGCGCCATTGCTGCACAGGGAGAGGTGATGCACACCAAGCATGGGATCCACTGCTCCTTCTACCTCGCGGAACAGCATGTAGAGGGTGCGTGGCGTGGTGGGGGTTTGAGGCACAAAGAGAGGGAGAGCAGCACACAGAGGGCGATTGGCACTGCGTGGAGGTGGTTTGAATAAGGAAAGAGCAGCACACAGAGAATGACTGGCCATGCTCCTGCCTATGCTCGTACCTATGCTCCTTCCTATGCTCCTACCTATGCTCGTGCCTATGCTCATACCTATGTTCGTGCCTATGCTCGTACCTATGCTCGTACCTATGTTCGTGCCTATGCTCGTACCTATGCCTGTGCCTATGCTCGTACCTATGCTCGTGCCTGTGCTCGTCGTACCTATGCTCGTGCCTATGCTTGTACCTATGCTCGTACCTATGCTCGTGCCTGTGCTCGTACCTATGCTCGTGCCTGTGCTTGTACCTATGCTCCTGCCTATGCTCGTACCTATGCTCGTACCTATGCTCGTGCCTGTGCTCATCGTACCTATGCTCGTACCTGTGCTCGTACCTATGCTCGTACCTATGCTCGTACCTATGCTCGTACCTATGCTCGTACCTATGCTCGTACCTATGCTCGTACCTATGCTCGTGCCTATGCTCGTACCTATGCTCGTACCTATGCTCGTGCCTATGCTCGTACCTATGCTCGTACCTATGCTCGTACCTATGCTCGTACCTATGCTCGTGCCTGTGCTCGTATCTATGCTCCTGCCTATGCTCGCACCTATGCTCGTGCCTATGCTCGTGCCTGTGCTCGTACCTATGCTCGTGCCTATGCTCGTACCTATGCTCGTACCTATGCTCGTACCTATGCTCCTACCTATGCTCGTACCTATGCTCGGACCTATGCTCGTGCCTGTGCTCGTATCTATGCTCCTGCCTATGCTCGCACCTATGCTCCTGCCTCTGCTCGTGCCTGTGCTCGTACCTATGCTCGTACCTATGCTCGTGCCTATGCTCGTATCTATGCTCCTGCCTATGCTCGTACCTATGCTCGTACCTATGCTCGTGCCTGTGCTCGTACCTATGCTCGTACCTATGCTCGTACCTATGCTCATACCTATGCTCGTACCTATTCTCGTACCTATGCTCGTGCCTATGCTCGTACCTATGCTCGTGCCTATGCTCGTACCTATGCTCGTACCTATGCTCGTACCTATGCTCGTACCTATGCTCGTGCCTGTGCTCGTATCTATGCTCCTGCCTATGCTCGCACCTATGCTCCTGCCTATGCTCGTACCTATGCTCCTGCCTATGCTCGTACCTATGCTCATACCTATGCTCCTGCCTATGCTCGCACCTATGCTCCTGCCTATGCTCGTACCTATGCTCCTGCCTATGCTCGTACCTATGCTCATACCTATGCTCCTGCCTATGCTCGTACCTATGCTCGTGCCTATGCTCGTACCTATGCTCGTGCCTGTGCTCGTACCTATGCTCGTGCCTGTGCTCGTACCTATGCTCCTGCCTATGCTCGTACCTATGCTCGTACCTATGCTCGTAACTATGCTCGTGCCTATGCTCGTACCTATGCTCGTGCCTGTGCTCGTATCTATGCTCCTACCTATGCTCGCACCTATGCTCGTGCCTATGCTCGTGCCTGTGCTCATACCTATGCTCGTGCCTGTGCTCGTCGTACCTATGCTCGTGCCTATGCTTGTACCTATGCTCGTACCTATGCTCGTGCCTGTGCTCGTACCTATGCTCGTGCCTGTGCTTGTACCTATGCTCCTGCCTATGCTCGTACCTATGCTCGTACCTATGCTCGTGCCTGTGCTCATCGTACCTATGCTCGTACCTGTGCTCGTACCTATGCTCGTACCTATGCTCGTACCTATGCTCGTACCTATGCTCGTACCTATGCTCGTACCTATGCTCGTGCCTATGCTCGTACCTATGCTCGTACCTATGCTCGTACCTATGCTCGTACCTATGCTCGTACCTATGCTCGTACCTATGCTCGTACCTCTGCTCGTGCCTGTGCTCGTATCTATGCTCCTGCCTATGCTCGCACCTGTGCTCCTGCCTATGCGCGTACCTATGCTCCCGCCTATGCTCGTACCTATGCTCATACCTATGCTCCTGCCTATGCTCGTACCTATGCTCGTGCCTATGCTCGTACCTATGCTCGTGCCTGTGCTCGTACCTATGCTCGTGCCTGTGCTCGTACCTATGCTCCTGCCTATGCTCGTACCTATGCTCGTACCTATGCTCGTACCTATGCTCGTACCTATGCTCGTGCCTATTCTCGTACCTATGCTCGCACCTATGCTCGTGCCTATGCTCGTACCTATGCTTGTACCTATGCTCGTACTTATGCTTGTACCTATGCTCGTACCTCTGCTCGTGCCTGTGCTCGTATCTATGCTCCTGCCTATGCTCGCACCTATGCTCGTGCCTATGCTCGTGCCTGTGCTCGTACCTATGCTCGTGCCTATGCTCGTACCTATGCTCGTACCTATGCTCGTACCTATGCTCCTACCTATGCTCGTACCTATGCTCGGACCTATGCTCGTGCCTGTGCTCGTATCTATGCTCCTGCCTATGCTCGCACCTATGCTCCTGCCTCTGCTCGTGCCTGTGCTCGTACCTATGCTCGTACCTATGCTCGTGCCTGTGCTCGTATCTATGCTCCTGCCTATGCTCGTACCTACGCTCGTACCTATGCTCGTGCCTGTGCTTGTACCTATGCTCGTACCTATGCTCGTACCTATGCTCGTACCTATGCGCGTACCTATGCTCGTACCTATGCTCGTGCCTATGCTTGTACCTATGCTCGTGCCTATGCTCGTACCTATGCTCGTACCTATGCTCGTACCTATGCCCGTACCTATGCTCGTGCCTGTGCTCGTATCTATGCTCCTGCCTATGCTCGCACCTATGCTCCTGCCTATGCTCGTACCTATGCTCCTGCCTATGCTCGTACCTATGCTCATACCTATGCTCCTGCCTATGCTCGCACCTATGCTCCTGCCTATGCTCGTACCTATGCTACTGCCTATGCTCGTACCTATGCTCATACCTATGCTCCTGCCTATGCTCGTACCTATGCTCGTGCCTATGCTCGTACCTATGCTCGTGCCTGTGCTCGTACCTATGCTCGTGCCTGTGCTCGCACCTATGCTCGTACCTATGCTCCTGCCTATGCTTGTACCTATGCTCGTACCTATGCTCGTACCTATGCTCGTACCTATGCTCGTACCTATGCTCGTACCTATGCTCGTACCTATGCTCGTACCTATGCTTGTGCCTGTGCTCGTACCTATGCTCGTACCTATGCTCGTGCCTGTGCTCGTATCTATGCTCCTGCCTATGCTCGTCCCTATGCTCGTACTTATGCTCGTACCTATGCTCGTACCTATGCTCGTGCCTGTGCTCGTATCTATGCTCCTACCTATGCTCGCACCTATGCTCGTGCCTATGCTCGTGCCTGTGCTCATACCTATGCTCGTGCCTATGCTCGTGCCTGTGCTCGTACCTTTGCTCGTGCCTATGCTCGTACCTATGCTCGTACCTATGCTCGTACCTATGCTCCTACCTATGCTCGTACCTATGCTCGGACCTATGCTCGTGCCTGTGCTCGTATCTATGCTCCTGCCTATGCTCGCACCTATGCTCCTGCCTCTGCTCGTGCCTGTGCTCGTACCTATGCTCGTACCTATGCTCGTGCCTGTGCTCGTATCTATGCTCGTACCTATGCTCGTACCTATGCTCGCACCTATGCTCCTGCCTCTGCTCGTGCCTGTGCTCGTACCTATGCTCGTACCTATGCTCCTGCCTACGCTCGTACCTATGCTCGTACCTATGCTCGTGCCTGTGCTTGTACCTATGCTCGTACCTATGCTCGTACCTATGCTCGTACCTATGCGCGTACCTATGCTCGTACCTATGCTCGTGCCTATGCTTGTACCTATGCTCGTGCCTATGCTCGTACCTATGCTCGTACCTATGCTCGTACCTATGCCCGTACCTATGCTCGTGCCTGTGCTCGTATCTATGCTCCTGCCTATGCTCGCACCTATGCTCCTGCCTATGCTCGTACCTATGCTCCTGCCTATGCTCGTACCTATGCTCATACCTATGCTCCTGCCTATGCTCGCACCTATGCTCCTGCCTATGCTCGTACCTATGCTCCTGCCTATGCTCGTACCTATGCTCATACCTATGCTCCTGCCTATGCTCGTACCTATGCTCGTGCCTATGCTCGTACCTATGCTCGTGCCTGTGCTCGTACCTATGCTCGTGCCTGTGCTCGCACCTATGCTCGTACCTATGCTCCTGCCTATGCTTGTACCTATGCTCGTGCCTATGCTCGTACCTATGCTCGTACCTATGCTCGTACCTATGCTCCTACCTATGCGCGTACCTATGCTCGGACCTATGCTCGTGCCTGTGCTCGTATCTATGCTCCTGCCTATGCTCGCACCTATGCTCCTGCCTATGCTCGTGCCTGTGCTCGTACCTATGCTCGTACCTATGCTCGTGCCTGTGCTCGTATCTTTGCTCCTGCCTATGCTCGTACCTATGCTCGTACCTATGCTCGTACCTATGCTCGTACCTATGCTCGTACCTATGCTCGTACCTATGCTCGTACCTATGCTCGTGCCTGTGCTCGTACCTATGCTCATGCCTGTGCTCGTACCTATGCTCGTGCCTATGCTCGTACCTATGCTCGTGCCTGTGCTCGTATCTATGCTCGTACCTATGCTCGTACCTATGCTCGTACCTATGCTCGTACCTATGCTCGTACCTATGCTCGTACCTATGCTCGTGCCTGTGCTCGTACCTATGCTCGTGCCTGTGCTCGCACCTATGCTCGTACCTATGCTCGTGCCTGTGCTCGTACCTATGCTCGTGCCTATGCTCCTGCCTATGCTTGTACCTATGCTCGCACCTATGCTCGTACCTATGCTCGTACCTATGCTCGTACCTATGCTCGTACCTATGCTCGTACCTATGCTCGTACCTATGCTTGTGCCCGTGCTCGTACCTATGCTCGTACCTATGCTCGTGCCTGTGCTCGTATCTATGCTCCTGCCTATGCTCGCACCTATGCTCCTGCCTATGCTCGTGCCTGTGCTCGTACCCCTGCTCGTACCTATGCTCCTGCCTATGCTCGTGCCTATGCTCGTACCTATGCTCGTGCCTATGCTCGTACCTATGCTCGTGCCTATGCTTGTACCTATGCTCGTACCTATGCTCGCGCCTGTGGTCGTACCTATGCTCGTGCCTGTGCTCGTACCTATGCTCGTGCCTATGCTCGTACCTATGCTCGTACCTATGCTCCTGCCTATGCTCGTACCTATGCTCGTACCTATGCTCGTGCCTATGCTCGTACCTATGCTCGTGCCTGTGCTCGTACCTATGCTCGTGCCTATGCTCGTACCTATGCTCGTGCCTATACTCGTACCTATGCTCGTGCCTATGCTCGTGCCTATGCTCATACCTATGCTCGTACCTATGCTCGTACCTATGCTCGTGCCTGTGCTCGTATCTATGCTCGTGCCTGTGCTCGTACCTATGCTCGTACCTATGCTCCTGCCTATGCTCGTACCTATGCTCGCACCTATGCTCGTACCTATGCTCGTACCTATGCTCGTACCTATGCTCGTACCTATGCTCGTACCTATGCTCGTGCCTGTGCTCGTACCTATGCTCGTACCTATGCTCTTGCCTGTGCTCGTATCTATGCTCCTGCCTATGCTCGCACCTATGCTCCTGCCTATGCTCGTGCCTGTGCTCGTACCTATGCTCGTACCTATGCTCGTGCCTGTGCTCGTACCTATGATCGTGCCTATGCTCGTACCTATGCTCGTACCTATGCTCGTACCTATGCTCGTGCCTGTGCTCGTATCTATGCTCGTACCTATGCTCGTACCTATGCTCGTACCTATGCTCGTACCTATGCTCGTACCTATGCTCGTACCTCGTACCTATGCTCGTACCTATGCTCGTGCCTGTGCTCGTACCTATGCTCGTGCCTGTGCTCGTACCTATGCTCGTGCCTGTGCTCGTACCTATGCTCGTACCTATGCTCCTGCCTATGCTTGTACCTATGCTCGTACCTATGCTCGTACCTATGCTCGTACCTATGCTCGTACCTATGCTCGTACCTATGCTCGTACCTATGCTCGTACCTATGCTCGTACCTCGTACCTATGCTCGTACCTATGCTCGTGCCTGTGCTCGTACCTATGATCGTGCCTGTGCTCGTACCTATGCTCGTGCCTGTGCTCGTACCTATGCTCGTACCTATGCTCCTGCCTATGCTTGTACCTATGCTCGTACCTATGCTCGTACCTATGCTCGTACCTATGCTCGTACCTATGCTCGTACCTATGCTCGTTCCTATGCTCGTGCCTGTGCTCATACCTATGCTCTTACCTATGCTCGTGCCTGTGCTCGTATCTATGCTCCTGCCTATGCTCGCACCTATGCTCCTGCCTATGCTCGTGCCTGTGCTCGTACCTATGCTCGTACCTATGCTCGTGCCTGTGCTCGTACCTATGCTCGTGCCTATGCTCGTACCTATGCTCGTACCTATGCTCGTACCTATGCTCGTGCCTATGCTCGTTCCTATGCTCGTGCCTATGCTCGTACCTATGCTCGTACCTATGCTCGTACCTATGGTCGTACCTATGCTCGTACCTATGCTCGTACCTATGCTCGTTCCTATGCTCGTGCCTGTGCTCGTACCTATGCTCGTACCTATGCTCGTGCCTGTGCTCGTATCTATGCTCCTGCCTATGCTCGCACCTATGCTCCTGCCTATGCTCGTGCCTGTGCTCGTACCTATGCTCGTACCTATGCTCGTGCCTGTGCTCGTACCTATGATCGTGCCTATGCTCGTACCTATGCTCGTACCTATGCTCGTACCTATGCTCGTGCCTGTGCTCGTATCTATGCTCGTACCTATGCTCGTACCTATGCTCGTACCTATGCTCGTACCTCGTACCTATGCTCGTACCTATGCTCGTGCCTGTGCTCGTACCTATGCTCGTGCCTGTGCTCGTACCTATGCTCGTGCCTGTGCTCGTACCTATGCTCGTACCTATGCTCCTGCCTTTCCTTGTACCTATGCTCGTACCTATGCTCGTACCTATGCTCGTACCTATGCTCGTACCTATGCTCGTACCTATGCTCGTACCTATGCTCGTGCCTGTGCTCATACCTATGCTCGTACCTATGCTCGTGCCTGTGCTCGTATCTATGCTCCTGCCTATGCTCGCACCTATGCTCCTGCCTATGCTCGTGCCTGTGCTCGTACCTATGCTCGTACCTATGCTCGTGCCTGTGCTCGTACCTATGCTCGTGCCTATGCTCGTACCTATGCTCGTACCTATGCTCGTACCTATGCTCGTGCCTATGCTCGTTCCTATGCTCGTGCCTATGCTCGTACCTATGCTCGTACCTATGCTCGTACCTATGCTCGTACCTATGCTCGTGCCTATGCTCGTACCTATGCTCGTGCCTATTCTCGTACCTATGCTCGTACCTATGCTCGTACCTATGCTCGTACCTATGCTCGTGCCTATGCTCGTACCTATGCTCGTGCCTATGCTCGTACCTATGCTCGTACCTATGCTCGTACCTATGCTCGTACCTATGCTCGTACCTATGCTCGTACCTATGCTCGTATCTATGCTCGTGCCTGTGCTCGTACTATTCTTTTGCCTGTGCTCTTACCTCTGCTCGTGCCTGTGCGCGTGCCTGTGCTCGTACCTATGCTCGTGCCTGTGCAACAGGCCACTTTTCCAGGAAATCCTGGCCAAGACAGGTACTCTCATCTGCTCCTGTGCTTGCACCCTCCCGCCCTCCATTACTTGCAGTGCATAAGTGGTCAGCACTGAGAGGCACTGGTAGAGGCAGTGCTACATGCAGTGTCCATACCTTCTGCTCTGTGTGCCCCCTGCCACTCACCCCTTTGCCCCTTCAGTGTTCAAGTGGACAGCACAGAGAATTTTCGACACGCCAGTTGCCACAGGCAGGCACTATGACCTGTGCTCTCTGTGTGCTCCCCCACCCGCCCTCACTATGACTATGTTTGCCTTTCCTGCTCCCTCCCCCTCCCCCCTCCAGTCACTAAGTGAACGGCTCAGAGAGTTCTCGCCAAGGCAGCTGCGAGATCCAGCTAGCTTGACGTGTTCTCTCTGTGTGCCCCACCACCTGCCCCTTCTCTCCCCCCTCCAGCGGACAAGTGGACGGCACAGAGAGTTCTCGCCAAGGCAGTGCTGCAGGCAGCCTCTGAGACTTGTGTTCCGTTTGCCTTTCCTGGCCCCTCCCCCTCCACCCTTCAGTGGACAAGTGGACGGCGCAGAGAGTTCTCGCCAAGGCAGCTGCCACAGGAAGGCATCACGACTTGTGCTCTCTGTGTGCTCCCCCACCCTCCCTCCTCGCCACCCCTCCCCCTTCAGTGGACAAGTGGACGGCACAGAGAGTTCTCGCCAAGGCTGTGCTACAGGCGGGTGCACTCATAACGTGTGGGATCATACAAGTGTGCCTGCTGCAGCGGCTCTTTGAAAAGAGGCTCAAGATGAGCCGCGTGTAACCCAGTCCCCGGACTCGCTAGATGAGTGGAAAGGCATGAGGAGGATCGGGGGGAAGTGAATTTCAGTAACAACCTTAGCAGTGGTGCTGAGTGGAAAGGCACCAGGAGTATAAAGGGGAGGTGGGAGGGGGAGAAGTGGAAGGAAGGGGAGGAGGGGGCGTTAGGGGTATATTAAGGGCTGGAGATGCGGTGGTGATGACAAGAATGAGAGGAGCAAAGGACCAACCCGTTTGCTGCTGCGGTTGTGGGATTTTTGGAGCTACTGTAGTTGCTGTTAATGCTCCAGCATAGCAATGAGGCTGTAGGAGATTGAAGATGCAGCAGCGTGCTGTAATGAGCAGAATCACAAGTCTTTAAAATGCTAGCATCATGCTTCTTCAATGTGTAGGGATACGTTTATATTCTAATAAGGTCATACACTAGCTGATTGCTGTCAATCCGAGTCCAGTTTTCCATGTCAAGTAGGTTAGACCCATCAAAGGGTTGTTTGGGATGTGCTGAACTGAAAGAGTTCTCTTTCATATCAGCCACAGGTACTGTAAGAAGTCTCAAGTACTATGGTGCCACAGCATTCGCTTTCAAGCACTATATTGAAGACATACATGAATAAACCTACACAAGATGAGCAACTCGTGTCTACGAGCACCAGCCCAGAGCCATCCCTTGGGGAGCGCTCCAGGCCGGAGCCATCCCTTGGGGAGCGCTCCAGGCCGGAGCCATCCCTTGGGGAGCGCTCCAGGCCGGAGCCATCCCTTGGGGAGCGCTCCAGGCCGGAGCCATCCCTTGGGGAGCGCTCCAGGCCGGAGCCATCCCTTGGGGAGCGCTCCAGGCCGGAGCCATCCCTTGGGGAGCGCTCCAGGCCGGAGCCATCCCTTGGGGAGCGCTCCAGGCCGGAGCCATCCCTTGGGGAGCGCTCCAGGCCGGAGCCATCCCTTGGGGAGCGCTCCAGGCCGGAGCCATCCCTTGGGGAGCGCTCCAGGCCGGAGCCATCCCTTGGGGAGCGCTCCAGGCCGGAGCCATCCCTTGGGGAGCGCTCCAGGCCGGAGCCATCCCTTGGGGAGCGCTCCAGGCCGGAGCCATCCCTTGGGGAGCGCTCCAGGCCGGAGCCATCCCTTGGGGAGCGCTCCAGGCCGGAGCCATCCCTTGGGGAGCGCTCCAGGCCGGAGCCATCCCTTGGGGAGCGCTCCAGGCCGGAGCCATCCCTTGGGGAGCGCTCCAGGCCGGAGCCATCCCTTGGGGAGCGCTCCAGGCCGGAGCCATCCCTTGGGGAGCGCTCCAGGCCGGAGCCATCCCTTGGGGAGCGCTCCAGGCCGGAGCCATCCCTTGGGGAGCGCTCCAGGCCGGAGCCATCCCTTGGGGAGCGCTCCAGGCCGGAGCCATCCCGTGGGGAGCGCTCCAGGCCGGAGCCATCCCTTGGGGAGCGCTCCAGGCCGGAGCCATCCCGTGGGGAGCGCTCCAGGCCGGAGCCATCCCTTGGGGAGCGCTCCAGGCCGGAGCCATCCCGTGGGGAGCGCTCCAGGCCGGAGCCATCCCTTGGGGAGCGCTCCAGGCCGGAGCCATCCCGTGGGGAGCGCTCCAGGCCGGAGCCATCCCTTGGGGAGCGCTCCAGGCCGGAGCCATCCCTTGGGGAGCGCTCCAGGCCGGAGCCATCCCTTGGGGAGCGCTCCAGGCCGGAGCCATCCCTTGGGGAGCGCTCCAGGCCGGAGCCATCCCTTGGGGAGCGCTCCAGGCCGGAGCCATCCCGTGGGGAGCGCTCCAGGCCGGAGCCATCCCTTGGGGAGCGCTCCAGGCCGGAGCCATCCCGTGGGGAGCGCTCCAGGCCGGAGCCATCCCTTGGGGAGCGCTCCAGGCCGGAGCCATCCCTTGGGGAGCGCTCCAGGCCGGAGCCATCCCTTGGGGAGCGCTCCAGGCCGGAGCCATCCCTTGGGGAGCGCTCCAGGCCGGAGCCATCCCTTGGGGAGCGCTCCAGGCCGGAGCCATCCCTTGGGGAGCGCTCCAGGCCGGAGCCATCCCTTGGGGAGCGCTCCAGGCCGGAGCCATCCCTTGGGGAGCGCTCCAGGCCGGAGCCATCCCTTGGGGAGCGCTCCAGGCCGGAGCCATCCCTTGGGGAGCGCTCCAGGCCGGAGCCATCCCTTGGGGAGCGCTCCAGGCCGGAGCCATCCCTTGGGGAGCCCTCCAGGCCGGAGCCATCCCGTGGGGAGCGCTCCAGGCCGGAGCCATCCCTTGGGGAGCGCTCCAGTCCAGTCCCCGCAAGAGTGCAAACCTTGGCTTGATACCAACCTGGAGCTGAGGACTCAAAGCAGAGCCACACCTGAATGGCAGCAGATTATCATCCTTCCAACCCCCACCAATTCCCAACCCACTCTCCCGAACACCTTGACAAGCAGGGTGCAAAAAAGAGACCCACCATCATCCCACTTCCCTCACCTCCCAACCACCTTCCCACTGCTGCTATCTTCTCGAGGCTATGCTTTCGTGCTTTTCACCTTCATCCAGCTGGAGTGTGCATTTGCTGCTTCTCAGCCGACTTTTTTTTATTTTTATTTTTTAGCAGTTCTTTTTTTTTTTGGTCTTTTTTTTTGTTATCCAGGAGGTAATCAGGTCCCCTCTCCCACGGGGATCCTCTGGGAGGTTCCCTTTCTCATGTGTGCAGTCACGTTGGAGGTCAAAATCAGGTCCCCTTTTCCACTGGGAGGTTCCCCAAGGAAGGTCCCCTTTCTCATGTGTCTCAGGTGCAGGTCTTGGTAGATCAGCAAGTTGGAGGGTGGAGCTTACAACGAGTTACAGCGGTGCTTACGGCCGCCACGGACGCCGTGAGCTCGCAACCAGTGCCACCTTGGACGACGATACAGCACGAAGCTTATTCACTGGAGCCGCGGGAATCGCATCACTCCTGCCTTCGAGCTGCTTCGCGCCATTGGAACTCCTTCTTCGCACCTGCCTCTCAGCTGCTGCGGCTCCTGCGGGTCGCGGAATCAACGTCGTCCCCTCCGCGCGGCTTTTCACGATCGTTCTTTGACCGCTTGGTTTGGGGATGCGAGACGGCAGCAGGAGTGACGCATGATGTACTGAACGAGTCGCAGCTGCCTTCGCCAAGCCAGCTGCTTTGGCCGTCGGAGAAACTTCAGCCGGCGGCGGCGTCACCGGTTCGGATGCCACTGGTTCGGACGTTACCGTTTCAGACGTTACTTGTTCCGCGGTGGTGGTTTCCGAGGTCACAGCCGGTACAGAGGCCACCAAATCTGTCGTTTCCCTATCTGGCATCGACGAATCAGAGGACGTCGGATCGGACGTCATCGGATCCAGCGACGTCGTCGAACCGTGCGATGCTGCAGCTTCAACAAGACAGGCGTCGCTGCGGCTGGCGTCGTCGAAGGTCTCAGTGCTTGTGTCAGCGCAGGAGAGCACCGCGTCGCTGGCCTCCCTGCAGCAGGACGTCAGGCTGAGGCTGCTAACCTGGCGGAGTTTGCTCGCGTTGGAGGAGCTCCGAGGCTGCAGTGATGGCTGCGTCGGTTTGTTGCTATTGAGGCTCTTCCAGAAGCTAAAAGCGTTGTTGAAGTACGACGGGTAGTCTGAGGCCATGGTGCCGATATCTTCACGAGATAAGCAAACGTCAAGATAGTCTTAAACACTAGAGCTGATAGTGTGAACAAGTCAAGAGGGTGATTGAAAAGACGTCCAGGCTGCAGATTTGTAGGCACTGTCGAGTGGAAGAATGGAGGGGAGGGGAGGGGAGGGGAGGGGAGGGAAGAGAAGTGGTCTTCTGGCTCGCGCTCACTCAAGCTCGTTGCTGAAAGTATAAAAGCGCTAGCTTACCTCTCGTTTCGTAGTTTGCCTCGCGCTCACTCAAGCTCGTTGCTGAAAGTATAAAAGCGCTAGCTTACCTCTCGTTTCGTAGTTTGCCTCGCGCTCACTCAAGCTCGTTGCTGAAAGTATAAAAGCGCTAGCTTACCTCTCGTTTCGTAGTTTGCCTCGCGCTCACTCAAGCTCGTTGCTGAACGTATAAAAGCGCTAGCTTACCTCTCGTTTCGTAGTTTGCCTCGCGCTCACTCAAGCTCGTTGCTGAAAGTATAAAAGCGCTAGCTTACCTCTCGTTTCGTAGTTTGCCTCGCGCTCACTCAAGCTCGTTGCTGAAAGTATAAAAGCGCTAGCTTACCTCTCGTTTCGTAGTTTGCCTCGCGCTCACTCAAGCTCGTTGCTGAAAGTATAAAAGCGCTAGCTTACCTCTCGTTTCGTAGTTTGCCTCGCGCTCACTCAAGCTCGTTGCTGAAAGTATAAAAGCGCTAGCTTACCTCTCGTTTCGTAGTTTGCCTCGCGCTCACTCAAGCTCGTTGCTGAAAGTATAAAAGCGCTAGCTTACCTCTCGTTTCGTAGTTCGTCGAGCTGCTCGCTCAGGTGAAGCAGCTAAACTCACTACTCACCGCTAAGGAGCAAAAACAGGGACTTCGTACTCTCGTTTATAGCCATACGCGAGCGTCGCGACTTGCTTACCTCAGTCGAAAACCTCGAAAACCTATTGCGCGACGTGCTGGACGAAATTAGGATCGCGCCATTTCCGTGCAGCTGCTACTTCACGTTGCTGGAAAATTAGGTCGCCGAACCGCTCGCTCGTACCAGCCACGAACATCGAGTTGAGTTGCGTGGGTTGTGTTCAGGACCTTGCAGCACGCCGCCAGCACGATATTTCACCTTCCGCAGCACGACCAGCTGTTCCGCGTCTTCCCTCCCTTTGGCAACTGCACCGCCCCTCCCCACCTCCCAAATTTCCCGCCACCTCGCCGCGTCTGCATCCTCGCTTGCAGCTGCCCCTACAGCATCCGCAACCTCGCTTCACGAGACCTCTCGCGCTACACCACCTAACAGCTACATTTCATTTTCCAGCTTCCTTCTTATGCTTCCTCACTTTCCACATTCACTCCACATGCCACGATCCTACTACCCAACAAAATGACAAGCCACAAAAGGGGCCGTGGAACCCAAGACTCTGAACCCACTTCTCC